TTCAGCCAAATTTAGCCTCAAGAATGTTGGGCCTCAGCTTTTTATCTTTTGGTCCCTTTTTACATATTTTAGAATTTTGATTTTAAATAAACCATGAAGCCAAAGGATTTCAGCCGAGGGAACACCTCTTAAGGGGTTTTCTTTACAGCCAGCGCATTTTGGGTGATTCCGGCAGCTATGTTGGGCCTCTGTTGGGCCATTTTAGGGCTATGTTGGGCCTTTGTTGGGTCATTTGGGGCTCTGCCGGCGGCTTTCGGGCCCAAAAAAAACACCCGACCGAAAAATTTTTCGGTCGGGTTTTTTTTTTGGGTCGGTTTTGGGCTTATGTTGGGCCATTTGGAGGTTATGTTGGGCCTCTGTTGGGCCATTTTAGGGCTATGTTGGGCCTTTGTTGGGTCATTTGGGGTTCTGCTGGCGGCTTTCGGACCGAAAAAAATACCCCCAACAGAATTTTTTTCGGTTGGGGTTTTTTTGGGTCGGTTTTGGGCTTATGTTGGCCCATTTGGAAGCTATGTTGGGCCTCTGTTGGGCCATTTTAAGGCTATGTTGGACTCTGTTGGGGCTTTCGGGCCTAAAAATTCAACCCCAACCGACGCATGGTTCGGTTGGGGTTGAATTTTGGGCTGGTTTTGGGCTTATGTTGGGCCATTTGTTGAGCCGAAGCCGGGCGATGAAACGAGTGCGGTTGAGCGTTTTGTCGGGAAAATCTGATTTTATAAATTGAGTTTTTTTTGAACACATGTTGGTCATCTCTTGTGCCATTTTATTTTTCGATTTTCAACATACCCCAGACACGCAGGGTTTAATCTTTTGTACCTGGATTTTTCATTTTCAGAAAGAGGGGTGGGAACAGCTTTTCATCTTTTCACTTTTTTTTTGCTCATACCTTAGCCCTCTAGGTTTTTAAACTAGGTGTTTGGGATGAAAACCTGGGGCTGCACCCTCAGTTGAACGCCCAACGGGGATATTTTATCCCTTTTTGAGGTCGCCTTTTCAAATAAGTGACTAGTATGAGTGGCCCAGGAAATATATTCCCATACAATCCCATCAGGACTTGGTGGTCCTGATCATTCAGTGCAAATCAAAGCACCAACGGAAATCAAGGCACCATGAAGCTCTGCAGCAAATTAATGGCGGCATGGCTTGTCCCAAGGGCATTTTCCTGGAAACATATCATTTTGTAGCAGGTAGCCTGGTTATTATGTCCATTCAGCCCCAAAAGAATGCTTGAAAAAAATCGGTGAGAAAAGAACATAAGAACGGGTTATCAAAACATGATTTTGGGCACACCACTACAAAATGAATTGGGTATGCATTTTTGTGCCTCTAAAGGGTTTCAGAAAGCAGGTATATTGAATATATGTATATATATGTGGGCTCCGATCTCCATATTTGTGCCTGTAAAGGGTTTTAAAAAGCAGGTATACTGAATATGGATGAATATGGGACCCAAATGGACCCAACATAAGCCCAACATATACACACCCTAGCCCAGTTTTTTCCAGGCTATTTTGTAAGGATCAAGGGGCTGTGCATGGGGGATATTTAATGCAGATAGCAGCCACTTCAGCTAGTAATGTTTCACGGGAGCTTAAAGTTTCAGGAATTTGGACCACTGAACATGTATCATATATATTTATATTGTAAATAATGATATATATGGATATATATGGATATATATATATGGATAAATATGGATATATATGGTAGGACCCTTACATTGTGAATCCTTTACAAAATCCATTGACCCAGCTTCTGAGGCAAGGGCGAGCCTGGGACATCATCAGCAAGCAACCTAGACCATCAAGGAGTGCTGCAGGGCTCTCTGTGGTTTGATTTGCAGGTCCCAAGGGCATCTCCCTCGAAGCAGGTCATTTTGTAGAAGGCCCCCTTTTTTTGCTGAGAAAGAATCAGCCCAATTCAGTCCCAAAATAAAGCGCAACAAATGGATGAGAAAAAACGGATTCTCGAAACATGAGTTTGGGCACACCACTACACAATGAGTTGGGTGGGTATCCCTACGGAGTGTGTTGGTGCAGGTCACATCCCAGGCCCCCCCATGCCCCACTTCTCCCTCAGTAATACCTCTTCCATGTGGCACTGGAAACTTCATGGGAAATGTGTTAGGGCTTTTTCATGCTTTTTCAATGTTGGTCATATTGCGTCATAGTTTGATATATTTTATCCCTTTTTGAGGTCGCCTTTTCAAATAAGTGACTAGTATGAGTGGCCCAGGAAATATATTCCCATACAATCCCATCAGGACGTGGTGGTCCTGATCATTCAGTGCAAATCAAAGCACCAACGGAAATCAAGGCACGATGAAGCTCTGCAGCAAATTAATGGCGGCATGGCTTGTCCCAAGGGCATTTTCCTGGAAACATATCATTTTGTAGCAGGTAGCCTGGTTATTATGTCCATTCAGCCCCAAAAGAATGCTTGAAAAAAATCGGTGAGAAAAGAACATAAAAGAACGGGTTATCAAAACATGATTTTGGGCACACCACTACAAAATGAATTGGGTATGCATTTTTGTGCCTCTAAAGGGTTTCAGAAAGCAGGTATATTGAATATATGTATAGATATGTGGGCTCCGATCTCCATATTTGTGCCTGTAAAGGGTTTTAAAAAGCAGGTATACTGAATATGGATGAATATGGGACCCAAATGGACCCAACATAAGCCCAACATATACACACCCTAGCCCAGTTTTTTCCAGGCTATTTTGTAAGGATCAAGGGGCTGTGCATGGGGGATATTTAATGCAGATAGCAGCCACTTCAGCTAGTAATGTTTCACGGGAGCTTAAAGTTTCAGGAATATTTGGACCACTGAACATGTATCATATATATTTATATTGTAAATAATGATATATATGGATATATATGGATATATATATATATATATATATATATATGGATAAATATGGATATATATGGTAGGACCCTTACATTGTGAATCCTTTACAAAATCCATTGACCCAGCTTCTGAGGCAAGGGCGAGCCTGGGACATCACCAGCAAGCAACCTAGACCATCAAGGAGTGCTGCAGGGCTCTCTGTGGTTTGATTTGCAGGTCCCAAGGGCATCTCCCTCGAAGCAGGTCATTTTGTAGAAGGCCCCCTTTTTTGCTGAGAAAGAATCAGCCCAATTCAGTCCCAAAATAAAGCGCAACAAATGGATGAGAAAAAACGGATTCTCGAAACATGAGTTTGGGCACACCACTACACAATGAGTTGGGTGGGTATCCCTACGGAGTGTGTTGGTGCAGGTCACATCCCAGGCCCCCCCATGCCCCACTTCTCCCTCAGTAATACCTCTTCCATGTGGCACTGAAAACCTCAAGGGGAATGTTTTAGGGCTTTTTCATGCTTTTTGAAAGTTGTTCATATTGCGTCATAGTTTGATATATTTTATCCCTTTTTGAGGTCGCCTTTTCAAATAAGTGACTAGTATGAGTGGCCCAGGAAATATATTCCCATACAATCCCATCAGGACTTGGTGGTCCTGATCATTCAGTGCAAATCAAAGCACCAACGGAAATCAAGGCACCATGAAGCTCTGCAGCAAATTAATGGCGGCATGGCTTGTCCCAAGGGCATTTTCCTGGAAACATATCATTTTGTAGCAGGTAGCCTGGTTATTATGTCCATTCAGCCCCAAAAGAATGCTTGAAAAAAATCGGTGAGAAAAGAACATAAAAGAACGGGTTATCAAAACATGATTTTGGGCACACCACTACAAAATGAATTGGGTATGCATTTTTGTGCCTCTAAAGGGTTTCAGAAAGCAGGTATATTGAATATATGTATAGATATGTGGGCTCCGATCTCCATATTTGTGCCTGTAAAGGGTTTTAAAAAGCAGGTATACTGAATATGGATGAATATGGGACCCAAATGGACCCAACATAAGCCCAACATATACACACCCTAGCCCAGTTTTTTCCAGGCTATTTTGTAAGGATCAAGGGGCTGTGCATGGGGGATATTTAATGCAGATAGCAGCCACTTCAGCTAGTAATGTTTCACGGGAGCTTAAAGTTTCAGGAATATTTGGACCACTGAACATGTATCATATATATTTATATTGTAAATAATGATATATATGGATATATATGGATATATATGGATATATATGGTAGGAACCTTACATTGTGAATCCTTTACAAAATCCATTGACCCAGCTTCTGAGGCAAGGGCGAGCCTGGGACATCATCAGCAAGCAACCTAGACCATCAAGGAGTGCTGCAGGGCTCTCTGTGGTTTGATTTGCAGGTCCCAAGGGCATCTCCCTCGAAGCAGGTCATTTTGTAGAAGGCCCCCTTTTTTTGCTGAGAAAGAATCAGCCCAATTCAGTCCCAAAATAAAGCGCAACAAATGGATGAGAAAAAACGGATGCTCGAAACATGAGTTTGGGCACACCGCTACACAATGAGTTGGGTTTGTATTATCCCTTTGTTTTGGCACTGTGGCTAACTGGGCACAGCATGGGCAAAACTGACCTGAGCCAGTTCATTTTGTAACAACTGGTGGTTAGGATTTTCATCTGGCCGCAATGCATCGATTTACTTGGGTGGGACAGCTAAAGAAAAAATTATCCCCCTGCTCCACCCTCCTTAGGTCTAGGTGCATTCTGTAAGACCCCCCGTGACCTCAGCAGGACCTGCAGTCGAGATGCCCCAGCCGTCGGACACGATAGCCAAGCATATTGCTGCTCAACTGCAAGTTCTTTCAAGTACCTCCTGGTTGGTCATCATATTCCTAGGTATATATCTATATCTATATCTACATATATATGTGCGTATGTATGGTATGTATTTATTTAATTTTGTTTATTTCATCTACAAATACGTCTGATGCATTGTGAAGCGGCATACCGACAGGACAGTGCAGGAGGTCTTCGGTATCAATTTTTCTTTCCATGTCTATGGACGAAAATAGTTCTTTTTGGAATAGAGCCCCTCCATTTTGTAACCATTGCCAGCATGTATCCCCTTCCATGCTAGCCAAACCTGAGGAGTTCTATGCTGGCTTGGTGAAGAAGGATTACTACTACCTCGGCGTGCTTGATTTAGCAATGCTTGCTTTTCAGCGTGGCCGGGACCTTCTTTGCTGTTTCAATGAGGTTGGTCAAGACATCGCGGTGTCCAACGTCTTGACGGAGTTTCGAAAGTACTTGCCTAAAGGTGTGGGTTTGGAGGATGACCGCCGCCTTCCAGATTTGGGTTCCCATGAGACTTGGTTTGTGGTAGGCACTGCAGCAAATTTCAAAAAAGTTCCTTACCGGGCTATCAATCATTTCATGCCTGCTTGGCATCGGGAACAGCTGGGAGAAGCCAAGTGGAACCTGTGCCAAGCAGCCACGCAACTACGAATTGCACACAGGAAGTCAGAGTTGGCGGAGGCCCTTTTGGCCGTGCAGCAAGATGAAGAGGGTGACGAAGCGGTATTGATCAGTCTCCTGGATGACCAGTCTTTGTTGGATGCCGAGGAAACGTTTTTGAAGGAATTGGCTTCATTGGGCATTTTCGCCGAGAATGTGGCAGGACAGGGGAATTGTGGACTGCTCTCCATTATGGCCCTCGAGCAAGGCTTGCCCCAGTGCCTTTTGGACTCTGCCAAACGAGGCCTTCCTCGCCAGAAGTCATTGAAGCTGCGGGAGGATGCTGGGCTGACCGGGGATTGTTTGAAAGGTTTCAGGTTCTTTCTTCTCAAGAAAGCCATCAGTGACACTGGCTCATTGCATTTGTTTGTCCCAGAGCATTAGGAATGAGTCAACCCATTTTGTAAAGAAGATGGAATGCAGCATGCACGATTATTTGCATGCTTTATTTGTCCCACAGCACGAGGAATGAGCCAACCCCTTTTGTAACAAAGTTGGAATGCACCTTCAATATCCTTCAATACCACATGTCTTCTTTTTCATGTCCATTCATATTGAGTCATGTCCAACCGATGGCTTTCTCGCTGGTTCAGCAATTCAGGAATTGAGTGAGCTGTGGCATTTGCGGGGCAAAGAAGTTGCCTGGCAGGTGCTTTTTGAAGCCTTTGGAGAGCAGCTGGCTACCTTGATGGAGATGAAGAAGCGTGCCCGCACTGCTCCTGCAGAGCCGGAGACGCCCAACAACAAGAAGAAGCAGAAGTCCAGACCTGCACTTCCTTCACCTCCTGCCCTGTCGCCGGAGAAAGCTGCTGCAGACCTGCCGCAGTGCGTGAGCAGCTGCCGCCCAGCCTCTTTCGGCCAGCCCGAGAAAAAAGATACGTACCTGGCCAGGGCCGGAGCTCCAGTGCTCACGGGTGAGAAGGACATTGAGGAAGAGGACAATGACCGGATTCATGCTGCCGATGAGGACCTGACAGTTTTGCCAGATCCTATCAACCAATTGGGCGTGGGATCCGGGGTCATCCGCAGGGCTCCGCACAAACGCGTCCGAAAGAAGGATCTTTTGGCGGGCAGTGAGGAAAGCAAGATGCGGTCGATCAAGCACTACTTGTTCTCTATCGAGGCCAGCTATCCACTTTGGCAGCGTTTGCATTACAGGCCGGGCACAATGTAACCGCAAATCATCACAACAAGTCATGGCAAGATAGTCCACGTTGGAATGAGATGGAATGAGCATGTTAGAAAATGCCTGATTTCATGGGACCAGCTTTCAAAGGTGCAAGGTTTATGCTGATCTGTGTGGATGTGTCCAAAAAAACCTAGACAATGCTTTTTGTAGTTCTTCACTGTCAGTGATTTTCTATGATTTTCTGATGTATCTTGGAGAAATGATTTTGAGAAACCAAGACGGCCACAACCAAGCCATTGTGTAAACCCGCAGAGGCATCAAAAGGTGAGGAAGGTGAGCCCCTGTGCTGATGAAGGGTACGTACAAATGCAGCGAAAACTGGTCCGTGGAGAAATGCTCTCTTGCAAGATTTGCACTGAGTTGCTGGATTCTTGTCACTACAGCCATGCCAACTTTGAGAAGTTCTTGGCGGAAGAGATTGCTGCAAAGAACATTCCGCAGGCTGCCCCTGAGGATGAACCTGACCTCGACATGTTTGGCCCGTGGGATGGGGTGCCTTATGCGCAGGCAAGAGGCGAACACTATGTGATTCTGAATCCGGGTGACTTTGGCAAAAAGCTTCCCATCAGGTGCACCATGTGCAGGTCAAAAAAGTTCCCTCAGGGAAGGGTGTTGGACCTCACAACGCGGAGGTTGAGCTCTGTGAAGCATTTTTTGATCCAGCATGAAAAGTCAAACTTTCACGTCGAAGGACTCAAGAGGTTGCAACATGAAGAGGATGATGTGGAACTGCCATGCGAAGCAATCCAAATCAGTGACAGGCTGACGTCTGGGGCCCTGTTTGATTACCAGAAGGAGTTCAACACGTGGTGCCTCTTTGCTTGTCTGGAAGCTCAGGCGAAGCACAAGTACTGGAAGGACAGCACTGGAAAGGGATGGTTTATCCGCTCCCGAAATTGCCTGAAGCAGGTGAAAGACCCTTGCCCACACAAGCGGCCAGTCTGCATGGAATGCAAGAAGCTGGTGTCGCCACATTCAGTGGTCAGAAATGTGCAGCGGTTTGCTGCAAAGTATCTGACTGCCAAGCTTCTCCACTCAAGACTCTTCACACCCCAGGATGCACGTGAGGAAGTCTTGGATGAGCTCAGAGAATCACCCCTTTTCCGGAAAGACCAAAAGAAGCTGGAAACCTTTCTGAACATGAAGAATTCGGACCTGCAGCAGTTTGTGCGCTTATCGTGGCGCGGCAACGGAGAGAGGAACGAGTCAGAGGCCTTCAAGGACTTTCAGAACATGGTGGTGAAGCCTTCCTTGCGCTGCAACACAGCCAATATGCCTGATGCGTTTGCAGACGTGGTGTCCCGGTTCGTTGCATTCGCTGCCAGCGGCAACGCCGCAGAAAAAGATGTTGCAAACATCAAGATAGCCACTGCTGCCATCACAGGCAGCCTTGACGAGCATCCGCTGCTGCAAGGTTTAGCCTTGCAATGCAAAAGAATGCTTGACAAACGAGCTCGCGGAATTACCAGCATGGTAGGCCGTAGGAGCGTGGAGACGGACTTGGAAGCCCAGCTCATCGCTGACGCCGGCATGCGGTTTTGCATGGCGTCCGGGAACACCAAGCTCGGGAAAGAGTTGCCTGATTTTATTTGGGTTCAGGGCCAGGGTCTTACAAGATGGAGTGTCTCTGAGAAAGGGCAGGGTGCCCCCTCTACATAACACTATATGAATCTATATGAATCTATATGAATGCCATCATGTCGTTATAGAATGCCATGCCTCATGCCCATGTCCCTTTTCATCGCAGAATGCCATGCCTCATGCCCATTCCTGGCTCAGGTTCGGTCTGTGCTCTAGAGTGCAGACGGTGCTCGATGATCTTCATTCGATGACATTGCCTTGCCCTGCCTTGGCTCTCCTTTGGCCGGAAACGGTGCAGACCAACTTCGAGATTCTGAGCCAGCGCTTCAATGTAGTTCCAGGGCAGGGCACTCGAAACTTGGCCAGTATGGTCTGGGTATGTCTGGGTTTGTTTGGATAGAGTTTGTGTGGATGTGAGGTGATATCAATACATAGATTCATACAAACAAACAGGCATACCCTTCGTTGGATCCTTGTAGATTTTTTGTAGGGAAAGAATCTTACAAAATGATGGGTGTTATACCCTATCATTTCAGTAAAAACCAGATGTGGGATCATGAGGGAGAGTTTCGAGTGAGCCCCTCCATTTTGTAAGGAATCCATACTGCTGCGGTTTTGGCAATCCATTGCATTGGTAGATTCTTCATTCAGTGAAATTGCCTTTGAATGCCTTTGGGCTTTCCCTGTCTCAGATTTTTTCGGTGGTTTTCTCCCTTTCCAAGGAAGACTTTGGCTTGCATTTGACCACACCTATTTGACACCCACATTGGCACAGACCAGATTGAAAAACACGGCTGCGCTGGTGGGAGGCTGCTGGGAGCCGGGCAAGGAAGAGACTTGCTTCCTGGATTTGGCATCTGACGTCATCAATGCCAAGTCCATCCAACGGGCTAGCACCATTCTTGAATGTGCAGTATGGGACCCAACAGCCACCAAAAAGGTCACGCTGTCTGCAGCATGCATGCCAATGAGCCATGACTTTGGAAGTCAACAAGGTGGTGCTTCAAAATCAGGGTGGGTCATGGCTGAGGCCTTGGGCCGCCTCCTGAGCAATTCCCAGAACACTATTCAAGGAGTTGTCTTTGACGCAGCTGGCTGTCACGGCATCATCCGGAAAGTCATCCATGGCCACCTTCTTGACGTCAATGTGGATACGCTGGCATCGGTTCCCTTCTTCTCAGACCTGCGGCACCAAGACCTTCCCCGGCATAGATTACCACGACTGCCAATCCGGCTCTGCTTTCATGAAGGAGAACCTTTTTACGGCATGGTTGGCCCGTGTAGCTTGGATTTCAAAGATGCAAATTTTATATATCTTTATCAAGTTTTCAACAAAGGGGCTCACATTCTGTTACTTAGTGTGGGCCTTTCAGAATGTCAGCATTTTCTGCGGGTTTGGAAAGATGCCTTGCCCATAGAGAACTGAACGGAAAAATCTTCAGCTTGGGTAGTTTACAAAATGCTTTGCCAATCTTTGCCACAGATCCCTTTTCGAGCCCATATGTGACGCAGCATGCAACAATAGTAAAGGTTGGCCATCGAGGCCTGTCATTTTGTAAGCCAATGTTTTGTTCTGCGCATTTGCATGCATTTGCCTTTCATTCAGGCCATGCGTCGAAGAATGCTTCTGGTCAGCTATGCAGCAGTCTTCGCACGATCTTTTATGGAGTGTTTTGGTGCGATACCACCGCGATGCGAGGGAATGGTCTGCCACCACAGGCATATTCCCGTGCCAGTCCAATGTCCGACCGTTTAAACTCCCTTTTGAACAACCCCTACTTTTTGTGCTCAAAGGTGGAGCCTTGGCTGCCAAATTGCTTGGGTGAAATTTCAGTTTTAGGCCCCTGTCAGGTCAGAATTAAGTTTTTTCATTCCATGGGCTTGCTTGTGGAAAGCCGCATTGTTATGCACTGATATGCACTGTGATTCATGTTTTAATCGTTTTTTGATTTACATGTCAACAGCTGGGTTGAGGATGGACCACTGGAATCAATGAATATACCGTGGTCATTGAAGGGAGCCACTGTTCACAATGCAGTCATGGCGCTTTGCATATCTCCTTCCATGCACACCTTCCTGGACCTGGAAGACAGGTGCGAAGCCGCACTTAGCGGCTTCCTCAGCTTGGACATCTTCCGATTGTGTTCTGAACAGCTGGCCGTGAAGTATCGCCTGCCTACAGGAAGTACATTCCTTGCAGGCCAAACGGTGTTCAACTTGCAGGGCACCGCCCTTGCAACGATCACAATATGTTGTAGCAAACCCGCTTCTTGGTGTCCATGGAAGTTCGGGTCGGGAAGGCTATCAGAGATAGCCGTTGAGCAGATGTTCGGCAACATCAGATGCCAATCTGCCAACGCACAGCACACGGCGAGATCTTACTTCTCTGCCTCGGCGAGATACTCAATCAGGATGAAAGAGCTTTTGCGGAAGGTAAAGCCTCCGGCTGCCTCAGCAGAGCCTTGCCTATCTGATGCGCAGTGGTTTGTCTATATTAATCCTGTGTTGTAGTTGTGTGTTTTTTTGTTTCACTTGTTTTAAAGACATGGTCCTGTTTACAAGATGCCATGGTTGGCACAGCTGATAGGGACTACTACTGCGTCAAAGTGGGGTGTTACAAAATGCCTGGGTTCCTCCACTGCAGGTTTCAACAGTGCTGTGAGCGAGCCTTCGCTGCTTCTCTCTTGCTGGTCTCCAGATGCACAGGAGAGAAGCCTGACAAGTTGGAGGAAATGTACCGCAAATGCTGCGGGGACGATGTCTTCAAGCTATCCGCTGACATGGAAGCAGATGAAGTGATGCCAGAGGAGGAGCTGGAACAGGATCCAGGCAAAGATCAGCAGGAACCACCTCCTCCACAACAAGCGTGTGAGAAGTTCCTCCTGGATTTCGCAGGTCACAACGATGCTACTCTGGTTTTCAATCAGAATCTTGAGGAGCCTCAACCACAGCCAGAGTCTGAGCTGGACGGCCTGCCAGACCAGGAGACGTTGGAAAGGTTGATGGAGGAGAAGAACCCGGAAGAGCCATTTGGACACGAATGTGCCAGGTCGCCCAAGCTTTCCAAGAAAGGCAATGCGCTCCCAAGCAGCCTTCGAGAGGCAATGGCTATGCCTGGGTGCATGTTCAATTCGCTGATGAGATTGTCAGTCAGGCTCCGATCAGCAAAGGGTGGATGTGATGTGCAGTTTCTTCCGAACGCCAAGAACTGCAGAAGGGCAAGCCAGAAATTGAACTGGTTCCAGTGTCTTGGCTGGATCGGGTGTGGCCATCTTAAAGCTGGATGTGGATGGATGTGGTGGGTTTTTGCGGGAATAGATGGTTTTAGATGGTTTTAGAATGTTTTAGATGGTTTTAGATGTTTTTAGATGGGCTTTATTTTACAAAATGAAGGGCTTCAGGTCTTATTTTACAAAATGAAGGGGCTTCATGTTTTCAGGTCATCCATACCCATGCATTTTCATAACTTCTCATCCATGTTCACCCATTTTCATCCATTTTCATCCATTTTCCCTAAAAGCATCTAAAAGCCTCCTTGGGAGTAACTTTTGGCAACCCATGCAAGCCCTTCATTTTGTAGTAGATTTTGAAGCAGATACCTCCTATATACTCTCCTATGTACTCTGCCAGTTTGTTTTCATGCGGCGCTCTTTCTCAGGTGAAACGAAAGGAAGATTGCTGAACTCAACGCAGAGGTGGAGGATGCTCCTTATCGTGGGCGCGCTTCTCGCATCGATAAGTGGAAGGAGTTGGTGAAGCAGGCAACCAAGGATCTGCAACTGGAAGTTGCAGCGCCCAACAAGTTGCAGATTCTTGACTATCCAATGCACTCAAAGAATTTCAAAGATATGTTTCGATTTTCTTTTTGTAAAGCTATTGCTGTATATTGATGTATATTGCTGTTATGTCCATTGTCGAATGGTTTTCCAGATACAGGGATCAACTGACGTCAGCCCAGCCTCGTTTGATTTCTTATTGTCTTCATGTTGGAAGAAGACAGCTGGCAGCAGATCAGGGGCAGACAAATCATTTTGTAACCAACATTTTGAGCAGCAGCATTTTGTATCTGACTGTGTTTATTCACAGCCGAGGCCAGGCAACGTGATCCTCTTTCAACCTCCTGTCAAGGCTACAACGGGCTGTGGCATAGACATCGGGATGATCATTTCCGTTTGGAAGGGGGTGAAGCAGCCCAAACTACATGCTTCAGGAACACCGGTGGAATCGGTCAGCGCCTTCCGGGTTCTGGTGTTGGGTATGCAAGACCCTGATCAAGTCCCAGCGCGAGATTGGAAGTGCAACGATCGGTCCATGGCCTATGTCTGCCGGCTAGAATCTTTGGTGTCCATATTGGATTGCGAATCCAGCGCTTTGGCGTTTGTTTTTCAACCATTTTGTTGCCATATGATTTCTACGACTTGTTTGCTTGAATGATCTGTTTTTATTTTTGTTTTCATCTAGTACATGTATGTATATGTAGGTGTATGATGGTGTATGTATGTGTATGTATATGTATGTATACTATTGTATACATATATATATATATCTATTTGTATCGTTTTGTATCTATTTTTGCGTGGTTCAGATGTATACCCTGAACATCCCAAAAACATCCTAACTTATATATGTAGGGAAACCAGTTCGAGACATGTTATTTTGTAAACGCTGTTTTGTAGCGTTGCGCACAGAGTTTTGGACACAAAATATGATTTCAAGACAGGCCAAGCCATTTTGTAGGAAGGGTGCCGGCCGTGATCGGTAGCTTGATCATGTAGTGGTTTGCTGGACTTGTCAGGTGCCCTTCCTTCGGACAATTGTGGAGATGTCAAGATCAAGCTCACGGAGGCAAGCGCCGCAGCTTTGGAAAAGGTGGAAGGACTTGACACTTGGACTGTTCTGCCAACCATGATCCGTGGTGCCAAGGGTCATGCTGCTGAGATTGCTGCTTCTGAGCCGCCTCTCCGCAGACATCCGAAGATTCCAGCAAAGCCCGCAGCAAAGAAAGCGGCAGACAAACCATCCAAACGTGCCCAGGCTGCTGGCCAGCCAAATCAGGACATTGCCAATGAAGCCAGCGGATACCGCAGAAACCAGAAGGGACGTGAGCTCATCGAGAAACAAATGAAGCAGTTGTGCAACTTGGATGGCCGAACTTTCCCTGAAAACCCTGCATTTGACAGCAATGGAAAATGCCGGATGAAATTAGAGGGTGCCCAAGACTTCACCGTTGACCAGATTTGTGAGGCTGCTCCTGATTGTTTCAGCTGCATGCGCCTGGGCCGCAATAGGTGCCACCTACAGGTTCCGCAGTCCACATGCACCTCCATATACCCCCATGTATCGATGTATCCAAATCTTTTCGAATGTTACATGCATTTATATAATGATGATTAATGTATTTAGATACAATTAGGATCCATTAGGTCATTTTAATTCATTTTACGTCTTCGCAATTTTTCACAGATTGGTGGATGTTAAAAAATCTCGCCGAAGAAGGAAGTGCAGATCTGTTTTCAAAACCACCATTGGCTGCTACAAAATGGTGGGTTCATGTGGGTTCCTTTTTTGTTTGCCTAGGCATGGGTTCTTGAATAAAATCTCGGGCGCTGATGACTAGAATTGTTCACAGACATTGCATTGTATAATTCCCGGGGTGTCTGACAGAATCTATATGTATCTGAATGTCCCCAAACATCCCCAAACCATCTCGTTAACATTCTGAAAGCAGATGTTCTCCTGAAACGCTGTTCAACTGTTTTCATTTTTAAAGGGATCTTTATGGATTCATGTTCTTTGCGCGGAAGCTAGATGAATTTCCTTCAGGGTCACATCCCCAGAACGCAGACTTGTTGTCAAATTGCCATCAGTGACTGCTACAAAATGATTGGTTCTGTTGATATTTTCTTCTGTAGGTAGTGATTGCACACCGCAAACCAAGAACCAGCCATTTTGTAAGCCATTTATGCGCTTGAGGTTCCACAATTTGAGGAACCCGGATGTGTATGGCGATGCTGTTGCAGATGTGTTTGACAAGACCCAAGCGCAGATGCAGCGTGAACCACCAGTGCGGCAGGGATTGCTGAGGCTTTTCAAAGAAATCATAACTTTTTTACAAAGCAAACCAAGCAAATGATCTTGGTGAAATTCTTTGCAAGATTTTGTGAACTGACCTGCGCGGATGTGCAGATGTGTTCAAGCTTAGCCATGGCCAAACGAAGGTGGGAGCAATTGAAAATATTTAAAAATATTTACTGCATTTGCAAAGGTGTTTTCTTTGGTTCGTGTTTTTGGTTTGAAAAAAACATGATGACTTGTTGCGTGGTTTTGCTTCCCAGCTTCTCACCGAAAAATTCCATAAAACATGGAAAGAAATGTTGACAAAAAACATAGTGAAACTATGTTGCGGTAGTGTAGGAAGGAAGCCTCGTGAAGATGGGCGTTGCCGAAGCTTCGGGGACTGGGAGGGAAAAATGCGGGGTTCCCTGGGGAAAGTTGGACTTGTACAAGCAAGGCATGCTTCCAAACAAGCCATTTTTTAAGACACAAGCTTATAAGATGATTGGGTTTGGGGCCTGGAAATTAACTTGGGGCACCCATTTTGTAAGGAGCCGATTTTTGATTGTTTTTGGAGTTCACCGGTGTTTCCTGGGGAATCACACCAAGCATGTTGCCCAGCCCATTTTATAAACCCCTAACCATGGACATTTGTAAGCTTAACTCCTGGGGCCCCTACAAAATGGTTGCCCTGAGTCAGGGGGGTAAATGTGCAGGGGGATACATTTTAGCCCAAAGCCATTATAGACCAGAATTTTTTAGCTGAAATATTTCACTTTAGGGAGGTGAAATATTTCAAGGTGTGTGGGGGGGGGAGACCCCCCCCTAAAGTGAAATATTTCAGTTTTTACCCCCCCCACCCCCCCCCCTTAAAGGGGGGGGGGATGTGTTTACCATCGTTTTACCATGAAAGTTGCAGGCCTGCAATTTTGCCCAACGGCCATGGATCAAAAGTTGGCCAGTGATACCGGTAGGTCTCCGATTTGAGGTAACGAAGGTTCAAGGCTCAATTTTTTGGCAAGTCTGTCTCTACGATCTGCATGTATACTTTTAAACCGTCCATATGGTCCCCACTTGGAACAAAGAGTTTGGGGGAGTTTCAGTAGGGATGTCGATGCACCAGTTTAGCAGCGTTTGTCAGAGACCCTATTTGTTCATTGTGCACCTTTTTTTTGTCCCATTTCAAAAGATGTTAAAGATGTTAAAGATTGCTCGAAACCTGATCGTCTCACATTGTCCAGCTCAGGACTGGTGGCTGAACCGAAGGTGGCAGCCACTTTCGCAGAATTCTTCCATGGTCTTGCGGCGTCGCATGCGGGAAAAGGTTTTTTGCAGCGGACTGGCGACAACAGAGGGTTCTGGCAATCTGGCAATCCCTTGCCTTGACTGTTTCCCTTGAGAATCCGTCTTGAATCCTTTGCACAGGTGGAAACCGCCAAGTCCCATGATGACGTGGAAACGGCAGGCGCCCATCCGCATGATGCCCAGATCCCTCATATAGCGCTGATTGTTGTTTGAATGATTCTGTCTTCGGGATCCAGTCAGGAGGTTTGTCTTCCGGAGGGTTTTTTAAAGGATATGTTGCTTCATCAATAAAAATCGGGTGGGTCTTCATCAAGCGTCTCCCGCTAGCTGAGCTCTTGTTTCTCTTGGAATTCCAACACATAAACGATTTTCTTGCACCGCGCTGGAAGAAACGGATTTGAGACATACCGAGACGAGACCAATCTTACACATACTCAGTATATTCACAGTTTCAGAGCACAAGACTAAAACCTGCTCGATGTAGAGAATGAATACACCATGATGCGGGTCCCCACCAATGCAATAGTTCAACGGGAAGCAACACTTTGACAACCCATGAATTCTGTGTACACATGCATATTATATGCATATTATGTATGTATGGTAATGTAGCGCAATGAAATGTCATGCAACACAGCATAGCTGCGCGAGGTCGGGATTGAGGATTTAATAAGCATCGCAACCTCTTGCAGATGTGTCCTTCATGTGTGTTTTTTCAGCACATGATTTGCGATCGCCATTGGGCTATTTCCAGCCCTTTGAGAGGTTGTAAGTCTTGCCGTGCCTGTATCAACTAGTTGCACGACGTTGCTTGCGCACCTCTTTGATACCACGCATGAGCTTTAGAATAGGCTAGCCTATCTCTGCCCCAATCAGTCCAAGTCTACACGTAGCCACGGCCTTGCACAGGCACCAATGACAACAGAGGAGATGAGCAGCGAAAGGTGCGCTAATGCGAGGATCTACTACTTGACGAAAGTAGATCAAATCGGTTCGAAACAGGTTCACAATTCGCTCACAATCAGTTCACAATTAGTTTATCGAAAGAAGTTTAGAAGAAGTCACACTTCCGACTTGTGGACAGATGCAGCAACAGCCCGGGGAAGAGTCAGAGAAATAAGAGTAAGTACAAAAAGATCACGCGCGCGAAAAGTTGGAAAAGTCGCGAAGCATTGCACCTCCGGCGGGTCGAACAATATGCTCGCTAATGCGGCAGGTGCGGAGCCATTTGACGGGATGAGTGATCAAAAAGATGCACCCAGCTGTGGCACCAAGAAGACTTCGAAGTCAAAATGTTAAAACCACCGCAGGTTTGGAGCACTTTTGGAAGTTGTGTAGCTGAAAAAGTGCCCATGGTTGTGGCACGAAGCACGTCTCCAAGTCAAAATGCCCAAAGCAACTCAGTTTGGCAGTTGAGCTGTTGAAAAAATGCATGCAGCTGTGCCGCCAAGTACAGTCCAAGTCAAAATGCTAAAAACACCTCAGTGTCGGAACGCTCAAAAGTGCACGCAGCTTTGGCGCCAAGCACAGGTTGAAGTCAAAATGTCAAAAACACCACACGTTTGAATAACGTTTGGAAGTTTGTTGCCGAAAAAGCGCGCGCGGCTGTGGCGCGAAGCAAATTTCGAAGTAAAAATGCGAAAACACATGTTCGGAACATTCGGATCATTTTTGGATGTTCAAGCGTCATTTTGCGAGGCAGGCTCACAAAAGCAAGCCAAACCTGAGGGCTTTGCAGCAGGTTCAAAGCTATGGCAGGTATTGGACGTTGAAGATCTGCATCGCCTGCCAGGCGCAGTACAAAAAGACATTTCCAGCAGAGAGGGGTTGCGTTTTGGAGCATCAGATCGGCAGGTTCGTCAAGATGATTTTGCGTGACAGGCGCAGCACTTCGTATGACCTGGCCGCATTTTTCCGCGGCAGGCGCGCTGCTTTAGACAGATAAGATGGGGAAAATCGCAGAGTCCAATGGTACTTGGGGCATCAGCATCCTGGCCAACATTTCCTTTTTCCAGGAACCTCACAGAATTGCTTCGTTTTAGCATATTCAACTTGCAGTTTTGCAGGAAGTGCCGTAGATTTGCTGCATGTCAGATAGACCAGGTAGATGGATAACAAGAAAGGTTGACAGACAGACAACATAGATAGAAAAATTAGATTTGATTAGAACAGGTTAGATTAGATTAGAATGGATAAGATAAGATAAGATAAGGTAAGGTAAGGTAAGGTAAGGTAGGTAGATAGATAGACGGATAGCAGGTAGGTAGGGAGGTAGGTAGATAGGTAGGTAGATAGGTAGATAGATAGATAGAGAGAGAGATAGATAGAGAGAGAGGGAGATAGAGAGAGAGAGATAGAGAGATAGAGAGAGAGAGCGAGAGCGAGAGATAGATAGATAGATAGATAGATAGATAGTAGATAGATAGATGGATAGGATAGGATAGGATAGATTAGGTTAGATTGGATTAGATTGGATTAGATTGGATTAGATTGGATTAGATGGATAGATAGATAGATAGATAGACAGATAGACAGAGAGACAGAGAGATAGATAGATAGATAGATAGATAGATAGCTAGATAGATAGATAAATAGATAGATAGATAGCTAGATAGATAGATAGATAAATAGATAGATAGAAATCTAGATAGATACACAGATAGACAGATAGATAGATAGATATATATCTAGGTAGGTAGGTAGGTAGGTAGGTAGGTGGGTAGATAAAGGTAGACAGAGGTAGATAGAGGAAGATAGAGGAAGATAGAGTTAGATAGATGGAAGGAAAGAAAGTAATTAAGACAGATAGATTTTGAGAGAGAGAGAGAGACAGACGGACAGACAGACAGGCAGGCAGGCAGGCAGGCTGACAGACAGACAGGTAGGCAGACAGGCAGATAGACAGAAAGATGCATCGATCGAAAAACAGGTAGGCAGAAATACCGATGGAGAGATGCGATAAGTAGACAGACATACGGGTAGACAGGTAGACAAGATAGACAGGATAGATGGGTAGACAAGAGAGATGGACAGATAGATTGATAAAGAGAAAGATAGAAAGGACCGAGAGATAGACACATAGACAGATAGACACATAGACAGATAGACACATAGAGAAGATGCATAGAAGGACAGACAAGATGGATGAGTAGAGAAGGGGCTGATAATAATCAAGAGACAGATAGAAAGGGCAGAGAGATAGAGAGATAGATGCAGAGGTAGAACATCGGATGGATAGAAAAATCAAACTAAATAAATGAATAAAAAACAAATATATAGAAAGTTCGGCGGATAGATGGATAGATGGATGGATGTATGGATAGATAGACAGGAAAGATGTGTAGACGAGAGAGATGGACAGATAGATAGATAGGTTGACTGGATGGATAGACAAGATAGATGGATAGACAGATGCAAAGATGGACAAATACATGGAGAGGTCAAACAGATAAACAAGACAGAGAGACAAATAGCAGGGCAGATCGCCCTTTTAACCATGCTGTCTGCAGCCAGTCGGCCTGCACCGGTGAGCATTGCATGCACTCCATGACCACCTGTCCATCCGTCAGCGGCTCGACAACCCAACACTTCCTACAGTCTATAGTTTTCCTATCTTTGAAACGCTTTCACTTCCGCCACCGACTTTCGCGGCATTACTGGGAGCTCACAACGGTTCTAAGGTGATCCCTTCAATGCAGCGTCACTAGTGCCATGTTTCAAGAATATCCAAAATATGGTTGCAACCGGGAGCTGAATTTGGAAGCCCTGGATTAAGTTTGCAGTGCCTGATCTATCAGTGCCCAAATCCAACTGATGCCAATTTAATGCGGATGTGTTTGCACTAGCCATATTTAGGTTTCCTGACCTCTGTTTGCAAGTCTGCGTACCGATTTGCCAAGTTGACCTTTCCGTGCGCTCCTGTGTTTTTGCGCAGAGATCAAACATGAGCGATTTCAAATGATAGAGGGGATCACCGAGGAAGCGTCCTATCTCAGGTACAACTCTTGAAATCTATGGGTTTCGAAGAAGGTGCCTGCGTTCAAGCCTTGGAGGCTGGGATTAGGTCAGGACTTCCAGGTTGCATTGGGTGCCAAGAACATTGCAAAAAATTGAAGGATCATTCCTTCCCATTTTATGTCATTGAGAAGGCAAAAAATCCAAGTTTACCAATAGATGTGTCTCACACAGTCCGATCGTTATTGCGCGCATACGTATGAATACAAAGATATTTACTATATCTTTGATGTGCATCCCATCTTTTGGGGGACTTGTAGGCTTTCCTGCTTAGCCCTGACTTCTTAGGCTGCCCGTGGTGACACCAATGCGGCAGCCAATCAGCTTTTAGCCGAGCGACTTTTGATTTGAAAAAGGAATCCTCCGAAAATTGTGGCATTTTAAAGGTTCCAAACGACTGGGTTTTCATCCGTTTTTTTTGCTGCCTTGGACCCTGTATAGACCCGAAAAAAACATATTGTCAGCACGAGTTGCAGAAGCGTTGTCAACAGTGCCACTATTGCAGTTTGGACAGTGGGCCAATCTGCTTGGGTTTGTTGGGGCCAAAATGCCTCGATAAGCTGAGCTGGGTTATCATGTTATCTGGGTTCATGTTTTTCGCATGAAACAGATGCATTTTCACAGGAGGCCTCATTTGCCATGCCAATCTTTCTGGGTGGCATGTTCCAAGATGCAAAGGTCCTATCACCGTGATTTGGATACCTTGCTCCAGTTGAAAAGCGGGACATAGGCAGACCAGCTTTAAAACATGGCCATGAAAACAATTTGGCATCATCGGAAATCCGCAGGTCACCTAAACTCTCCAATGTGATGTTAACAAAAAACGATTTCCTTGCCTTCCCCAAAATCCGCCCCTGCTCTTTTCGAAGCACAGCAATGGGCTGCTCTCACAGTGAAGTCGGTGGCATGGCTATCATTGCTGGTGGAAGTCAAGAACCAGCAGAGGCACGCAACCAGAAGCTTGGCACAATATGATTCAAGCAGAAACTGTAACTACATCCAGATCTTTGATCAGGAGTATCAAAAGAAATGTAACCTCAAAGACCTAAAGCGGAATTGGGTGACACATGAAGATGCCCAACGAAGTAGAACCATGGGCAAACAATTATAATTGTTGAAATCCGTGTCATGGACATCGAAGAATTTGAGAACAGGATCTTCGAGAAGTCAGTAGCGACACGGGTCGCAAGATGCACGCACTTCTGCTTCAGACCACAGGTTGTTGTCTCTTATTGTTTAAATCATGTAGTTGAAGGGTGTCCTTGCGGTGTCCTCGGCCTACTTGACCTAGCAGACCATAAAAACCAAGTTGGGATCCTCCTGCAGTCTGGTATTGCTTACTTATACGAGTTGGGCTGCAAATTGGTCATGTTGCTACATTTGAACGCACGGAGAGGCACATTTGGCCAGGAGCAAACGCATTCTAATCCTAATGAAAACCCACCGATTCTTGCCCTAATCCCGAACACATCCAGCGAAATCAGTCGGGACAGCCGCACACCTTACACACCCAGGAGCTTTTCCAATACGGTTCCAAACCGAGCTGATAAGTATAATTAATCGATATTAATCGCATGAAATGCGCTCATTTCCAGTAGCAGATGTAGCGTCGGGAGATATCGTGCCCCAATTTTGGTGTGGGAAGTGCCGCAAACGCCACTAAAAAAGACTTGAATACTAGAGCTATATACAAACTGAGTAACTATTGCAATCATAATAATGTCTTTGATGATATCTATGTCATACCATTTGCATTTGTACTTAGGCTCTGACGGCCACATGGGATCCCAGCAATGTAGCGTCGCACGGTCAGGAAGCTGCCGCCCATGACCTCATCCTACGAAGCATGGACGTGGAGCCATGTGCCCTTCGGAAACCTGGCGCAAGTGAGGGTCTATGAAAAGTTGGGCAAAATCACTGAAACTCACTCAAAAGCACATGGAAAGGCATTCAAAACCATTGTGGGGTTTACTAAATTTACTAGTGGTGCTTGGTGAATGCAGGTTCAGGGAGCATGTGGCTGGCGTTTTCAACCTTGGGCCGGCCTAGCGTTCCAGTGTTCAGGTGAAAGCGGGCTGCCCAATCGCCAGATGCATGCACCTCGGAACTGGGTTCCCAAAAAATTGACCTGATACGGCTGGATTGCCGTGGCTGGGATTGTCAATGAAGGTGGGACCGGTGTAAAGGTGTTCTCGAACCATGCTATCCATGTGATATCACTGGCTGGTGCTCATGACAGAAGGGGGGACGTCAGCTACTGCCAAGTGGACCGCCCGTTTACGTGAGGAATCGCAGGTGCCAGCTAGAGTTTTTTCGTCCAAGGGAACTTAGCCCAATCCCTCTCGCCGTGTTGCACCAAATCCCCCTGACATCCCACGCTTTGTCGTGTTCAGCGCCCGAGGAAACCTACTTGAAAAGGCTAGATCAGTTCCTGATGAAACTTGGTCCAGGTGGATGGCAGAATCTCTGGCAGTTTCACGGAACAAGCTGCAATGAAATTGATCAGGATATTTCAGGATATTTCAACATTCTCTATGCTGAGATGTAAATGTTTGAAGGTCGACCCGTCGCTGTGTTCCCCCACGGGATTAGTGAAACTACATGGTCACGGGTGGGCAGATGGCCGTGGCAGTCATAGATGCCTGTAATAGCATGATACAGCATGATGCTGCTAGAAGAGGTAAGATCCATTGGAATGGGCATCATGGGCTAGACACTGTGGATGTTTTACTGAGGTTTCAATGGGTCCTGAAATTACTTTTCTTAGTGAAATAACAACCACCAAAGCCACAAGTCATCAGTTGTTTCTTGTCCAAAGCTTCATCCGTCCGATGGTTCTTGTCATGTGTCCCAATTCTATCATCATTTTGTGTGTTTTCCCTTGTTGAATGAAAATCAATGTAATCATCATATGTCAAAGATTCGGGACAAAATCATTATCAATTGGTCATAACTAACTATGTTCAGAACAGACATGACAACGCCAAAGTCACTAAAATGTCAACTGTTCCACCTTGTGGTTTGTGGCCGAAGCATTCTTGGTATCTTTGGGAACCGGTCTTTTAGTGACAACCACGATCGATCCAAATCTGAGTACCAGCGGCCCCAGCCCACCCCTCCCCACCCCATTTGTGACGTAGAACCACGTACGTCCACATCGTCACATGAGTGTTATTGATGTTATTGCGAAGAGCCTCCGCTTAAACGTACAAAAATGCCCCGGAACGTCACGGCCATCTACCCACCCCCAGCCAGCTACATAATAATGTGCAAGGAGACATTGGCTGGACATTACCTTCCAAATAGGAAGTACCTATTAAAAACAACAGATGTATATTGGTGCAGATTCACGCAACTCACACTTCTGACAAAAACACATGATGATCGTCAAAGTTGACACAGTACTTTCCAGAAGAGAGCCGCCTAATGTGACGGAACGCTTCCAGCACTTGGCATATCGTTCTATGGAGCAGAGCTGCCAGCGAACGGTTGAAAATGTTTCCTGCGATGCAGGATACCAGGGGTACCAACATCCAATTGCCGAAGGTTTCACGCTGAATGGACTATCTTTGATCCTGTCAGTGTCCTTGTCATCCATCTAGCGCATCCCAGGAAAGTGGATGACGAGCCATGGAAATTCTCATCAGCAGCTGAGCCAATTAGTGAGGGGGTCACCGCAAGCTACGTCGCTTGAGTGCAGCCTGTTCTAGTGAGGGAGCAAGCGGGAGGCTTTTTTGAAGCATGTGAGAAACACATGGAGGATTCCTCGCTCATGGTTATTTTCTGTGGCGTGTTTCAAGTACGCATGGTCCGTACAGCTCTCTTCTTTTGGAGTTTCCGGTAAGAAAGCTAGATTTCTTAGGCTTCTGTAAGCTGCCATGTTTAATCCATATGGGCCATATAGTTCTTTGTTCCTGGAGTGAAGATCGAATGCCATTGGCAGCTGACGATTGATGCCCCCAACACCCTGTACTTTCAGCGTTGTAGCGGTTGTAGCGGTGCTCGTGTGGTTTTCTTTGGTCCGTTCTTTGTACTCACTGCTGACAAGTTCGATCGGTGACTGGCCGATCGGAAATGGACATCTTGTGGTTCAAAGGGATAATGGGACCCAGATAGGAGGAACTACGAGAGGGCAGCCATGTCAACTACGCATGAAAAATGATGGTCCGTAGCTGAGATGATAAACGCTATTGCGCCACCAGCACGAATGAAACAGCTGCCAGTCAATATATCACATTGGAACCATTGTAGAATGCGAAAATATTCCAAAATGAATGCAGGCAATTATTGGATACCATGTTTTGGAACAAAATCACTATCGTCCTTATCATCCTAATGCGTTTGCTCCAAGCTGTCAGACCTTGGAGCCAGAGCTGCTGACCTTCAACCTCCGCACTTAGGACCTGCAAAAGGCGCGCGATCCGCATCAAGATCCAATGATCGAGGTGCATTCTGAGACTGTCACGAAATGACGCAGCACTTGTCATGTCTTGTCCTGTCGTGTCTTATCGTGGCTTGTTGTCTTGATGTCTCAATATTGAATACGGGGGCAAGTCGGGGGCAAGAGGATGATGATGACAACACAGATTTGCTGGAACTGCAATTTTTTCCCCCAAACACTGTCCACACTGAAGGGTTGTTACGGCAAGAGTCAAAGCCTTTGGCCCCAAGCATTTTGCCTGTAAATTCTCGCGTAAAAGTGGCTTTGTGTGATGCCCATGTGCATTTCCATTGCGCAGGCTCGCACAAAGTCTGCGCTGCGGGGTTGTCCCGATCTTGGAGCGTGGCATTTTTCCTGTAAATTCTCGCATAAAATTGCTCTTGTGACACGTCCATGTGCATTTCAACTGCACGTACAAATCGTGCGGCTAAGTTCGGGGGACGCGGCTTTTTTCCTGTCAATTCTGGCGTAAAAGTGGCTTTGTGCAAGTCCATGTGCATTTCGGTTGCGCTGGCTCGCACAAAGTCTGCGCTGCGGGGTTGTCCCGATCTTGGAGCGTGGCATTTTTCTTTAAATTCTCGCATGAAATTGCTCTTGTGAAATGCCCATGTGCATTTCAACTGCACGCACAAATCGTGCGGCTAAGTTCGGGGGGCACACCATTTTCCTGTCAATTTTCGCGTAAAAGTGGCTTTGTGAGATGTCCATGTGCATTTCGACTGCGCAGGCTCGCACAAAGTGTGCGGCTAAGTTCGCCTTGCGCCTATTTTGCGTGGCACGCGCAGAATCAAGATCTTGCAGAGGTGCTTGTGAGAAGATGTTGTGAAGATCTTGCTGACTTCTTCTGCTGTCCCTTCTTGTGTGTGTAACTTCTTCTTGTGTGAACTTTTCCTGCGGTGATCATAGGACCTTGTTGCTTAGGATGTTCATAGGAAAATCTTTCATGAAGATCTTCTAAGGTTCTCTATAGAGAAGGTCCTTTGCTGTTGATATGTTGAAATTCTCTTAGATGTCCTGGTATGAGATTCTGGTAGGAAGTCCCGCTGAGTAGACATAGCGCTACTTCTTGTGCCACAACAAGTTCCTGCTGCTGCAGTTGCAATAATGTCTAACCTGATATGTTACCTCTCCATAGCTACAGCCCCCACACTGTTTGGGGCCTTCTGCCGGTGTAACTAATGTAGTCGAAGAGTTTGACTGCTATGATTGGTACTCGTGCTAGGGGTGGTGGATGAGGAAATCACAAGCTAGGCCGACGTTGCAAGAAAACAGCCTCCAGTTCCGTTCATGTCTTTGACTTTTAAGGTTTCCATGATTAGAAAAGCTATGAAGGCATGATGATAATGTTATGAGTCATGCTTCCTGCGCTACCGCGTGTGAGTAGGGATTTGGGCCACTGCTTGCAACAGATGCTAAGACACACTGCAATGGAATGAGAGCACATTGATCATTGGGTGGAGGTTATGAGGCACAACCAGCATCCAACGACATGTGCATGACACTCATCTCCTGCAAGGTCTATTTCTGAGCCTGAACTCGAGAAGGATCCAATTTGATCTTGTGCAGTGTTCAGCACAGGTCAGTTTGGCGTCACAAGCAGCGACCGGAGTACGAAGCCTTTATGTTTGAGCAATATTCTTTCAGTTTTTTTTCAAGGGTTGACAAAGAGCAGGCGACAAAGAGCATGCGTCACATGGCATTCCTGAGATCCGAATTCTTCCAGCTGGACACGTCGGGCGGGATTTCTGAAGCATCACCTATTGACAAAGAGAACTACCATTGAAGAGAGACTGAAACGGGATATTGGTGGATAGCGTACTGCTTTTGATCTCTTGACCGTATTTACTCGGTATGTTGTCAAATCATGTGGAAATATGTCCAATGTTGGATACCAGCGAGAGAAGTGTACCATTTTTGCCGCAACCATGTTTCAGATTACTTTCCCGCACGCTATAAAATCTTGGAGAATCAAGAAGGTGATCGTGCCTCAGGTAGACTCTTCGGCAGAAGAAAACCTGTTTGTATTGAATATTTTGTTCCAGGGTTCTGTACATTTGACATGCCACCATACCCTCGTTGATAGGAACTATTTTACCCTCATGTGGCACTGCTGTAGCTTGATGACGGCACATATAGAAGTTCATGGAAAATTGTCAAGGCGATTCACTAGTTAAAACTCATCATTTTCACCATAGTTTTATGTTTCTACTCCGGCCCAACCAGAATGCAGACCTGAGACTTGACACTGTGCGGACACTACCGACATGTATTAATTTGTGCTAATACACAGCTTCCAAACCCCTTCTTGCTGGAACTTCCGACCTGCTGTGCAAGCACAAGCCAACTTCATAACGATGTGATTTCGATTGATTTCCGGATTCTACGATCAGATCGAACCAGTCACATTAGTTTCGCAATAACCAGTTTCAAGAAATAGTTTGTTGATTTCAGATGACTAGGGATTCTGTACAGAAACTCATAAATAAACCCGTTCAGTTTTGGAAGGCTTGACTCAAACCTTGCATAGCACTGTTCAAAGCTGCATTGTTGCAACCTTTAACCATGTAGCCCCTGTCATTTTATTGAATTGGGAGATTTGGGGTTGCTGTCCAGTCTACACCGACAACAAAGAGTGCTGAGCGGCCGAAGTTTCTGCATGAAAAGCATCAGACGAATCACGGAAGAATCATTCTCCGGCTTTCAGGAAGTGAACCAGGTTTGCCTTTCAAAATCGCAAGGGCTCACAACATGAAGAATTCACAGCCCAAAGACAGCCCGAAGAGTGTGTATTTTGCATTCAACAATCTGCCAGAAAGAGTTCAAGTCTCAAATGTTCAGACTGTTCAGACATAATGGGTGCCTTGGGCAAAGTTGATCCATTATTTTTTGGTTGCACATTGCGCATCGTCACCAGAGAGTTGGGTTCAAAGCCGTGCCACTAGGTTCACCAATAAGAACAGCTGATGGCGATAGATCCCTGAATCATTCAACAAGGGATTAAAAGAAAAATGCCTTTTGAGCTGCATGACCTTTCCGTGCAATGCTTTGGGGGCTTATACAGAGGTGCCATTCATGAGGAAGCTTTTCTACTCAAAGATCTGGTCTTGCCGCATGCATAGGAACGGACAGCAGTGTAGATACTACTCTCGTCACCAAATTCTCGTATCCAAAGTCCGTGTGTTTTCCAAAGAAGATAGCTACAGACATCTCATGGTATCTCTATCTGTTTCCAGCTTATCGGCCGCATCCTGAAGATGCAAATGAAGCTTCCAGCCAAGCATCGTCGAGCTAGGCTGGAAAATGTTGTCAGATCTTCAGATTCAGCGCCTGCACTGGTTGACGCTTCACCTCAACTTCAAACTGATGGAGGTTGCTCATGTTTATTTCCAACTTCCGCGAGTAAGAACTCTAGTGACACATGTAATGCTAGGTTTGTGGAAGGGTTCAGTGAAACAATAGGAGCGCGTTCTATTCATACGTAAGTTGGCAGAGTCTTCCATGGGTCCACAATGGGTCCAAGATCTTGAGTCCCGTGCTTGTACTCGTAGCATGTTGGGCAAAAGCCTTGATTGAAAGCACTGTAGAGACCCAAAAAGATGTCTACTGCACTTGAAAGCACGTCGACTGCATAGTCTGCAAAATATATACCCTTTGGCCGGCGACGGCCCTTGGAAGCTTTCGCTACTTGTGGGCGCAGTTGAGGTTATAAATGGGCATGACTATGGCTTTTTCACCCCCATAAATTAGGACACAACCCGTATAACTATGATTACGTATCCACTGTTAACTGGAACTGCACTTCCAAGTAAAGTAGGTTCTGCACATAGCATGAAAAAGCAAAACACGAGAACTGATAAACAACGCCACCATTGTGGTAAGCCATCGATATGCTTGCAGACCTCCCTCAGCAGAAGAACAACCACGAACCAACTCAAAACCGGAAAAAAAATAAAAGCACGGTTTCTTTTTCAAGTTCAAACCTTCTACCAGTGGGCACTCATCTCTCAATGCTGGACTTGAATGACGCACAGTGATAGGAATGCTGCTAAGGGTGCAGCAATGCAGCACCATCCAGTCCAACAACAAACCCGCTATTTCTTAAACGAACGCCGCGCATTATTTTTTGCTCAGGGGAACGTTGCCTTGTTTGACGGGCTACTCAAAGCTTATTGAGATATAGCAACAAAGCAGGTTTGAAGAAGACTTGTCCAGTTCCTTCAAGCAGTAGTACACTTTTGAAGAACGTTGCATCTTGAGATCTGGAACTTCAAAGTTAAAGGGTTAACAGTTAAGACCTTGGGTTCGCCCTTAAGTGACTATACAGGCGGTAGAAGCTTCAGACCTTAGGTTCGCCGTTAAGTGAATAGTTTCGAGAAGCTACTGTCCAGTGTCCAGCTTAGGGTCGGTCCAGTGTCACAGGGTTCACCACCTTAACACCAGGAAACCACTTAGAAGGGTTGTAGCGGTAGAAGTTCCAGAACCTAGGTTCTCCTTAAGTGGCTATAAGATTAGTGACTAGCCTTAGGAAGCCACCTCTTTTTCTTTGGCCAAGAATCGTTTCCAGCCGGGTCCAAGGTCGCAGGGCAGTTCACCACTCCAACGGTTTCTGTGGGGGTACTTGTGAAGTCTGTGTTCCCGTTTTGTTTTTGAAGCCGAAGAGCTGCGCTAAGTGTCTACAACACCTGCGCTTGCACCAGACTCGCACTCACACTCGCACTAGCACTTGCACTCTCTCACACACACACACTCACACTCGCACCTGCACTCACACTCACCCTCACCTCACAGTCACCACTCAGGCACAGACATCGCTTGAAGAGATACCGCACATCAAAGAGAAAAACCTTAAACTTTGAATGTGATAACAGTGCTGCACGTGCTCAAATGAAATTCTGTGTTTTGACACATTGATACAGCGCTCTCCTACAGGAATAAGACTTTTAACGGAAAGATTTGTCTTTTGTCACAGAATGCTCTCCTTGCTTGCCATGAATGCTCCCTTCGCTCCTTCCCAAATGCACCAAAGAATCTTGGCTTCTTGTTTGCTGTGGGGGTCTGGGGGTAGAGCTTTGCGTCGATTTTTGGGACTCCTTCGCACCTCGCTGTGCTGTGAATGCTGCGAAACATAATGTTCTGGAGGTGGTGCGCTTGGTGCGTTTGAGCGCGACGCCTGAAACGCGTCAAGAAGAAGTAGCACTGTGGGGATGTTGGGGAAGCGTGCATGTGTAGTGTGGAGTGAGGAATGTAGAGTTTGGACTGTAGAGTTTGCAATGTAGAGTGTGCAGCGCAAAGTGTGGAGTGTAGAGTGTGTAGTCTGAAGTGTGAATTGGACAATGTGCTTCTAGAATGTAGACCGTGGGGTGCGAAATCTAGAGTGTGGAGTGCAGGGCGCTGTGTGCAAAGTGACGAGTGTCGAGAGCGTGCAGTGTAGAGTGTGGAGTCTTGAGTCTTGAGTGTGGGGTCTTGCGTGTAGTGTGTGGCGGGAAGGGTGTGGACTGTAGTGTGTGGAGGGCGGAGTGTGCAGGGTGTGTGGGGTAAAAAGGGTGGAGTGCAGAGTGTGATGTGTAGAGAGTAAAGTGCAGATTGTGGATTTTGGAGAGTGGAATAGAAGTGTACTGGATTGGTTGTTTTATAAATCCATGCGGGTCCGTGGTGTTTTTTCCCAATGCTGGATTTGCAAAAACTCCTGGTTGGAATTGCATCGCTTCTGCAACATGGCTGTGACCTTGTCTCACAGAACCCTGCGTTTTGGGCAAATAGGCGTATGTTTCCGGAGAGCATCGGCCCGGGGGACTAGTATGTGTGCGAATACATGGTGTAATAAATATATGGCATTTAAATAGCGCGTACATACATATTTTTAAATTATGCATATATTCATATATCGTATGTGGTGTTTTTAATATTATGTATGCTTTGTGGTTTATATATAGTTTTTTCTTTAGTATGACGTAAACATACATACATATATATATATACACACCTGTTTTTTGTATGCATAGTGTGTATATATGGCATGTATCTATTTATAGTGTATATAGTCCATAGAGTGTATATATCATATTGTGTATTTTTCATAATATATGAATATATATATATATATACATACATAGTACATGTATATATTTGACATAGTATTCTTCAATAACCAGTTAAACTTTGAGAGGCCATGGCATTCCTGTGCGCAGCATTCCTTTATGCAAGTTTCCGGTGAAAAAAACACAAATTTTGCTGGTCCTTTGAAAACATTGTTGCACTCCTTGTTTCGTGACTACAGAAACGCAGCCACCCCCTCCAGGAAATAGAAACTAAGGCCTTCCCCCTCCAGAAAAAGATACGGCCTGCCCCCTCTTGAATATATAAAAGGAGCCCCTCCCAGAAAACAAAAATCAAAGCTATGGCATAAACCGAGAATTTTCCTACGATCTTTGTTTTCTTTCTATGTTTATCGTTTTTTTCGGTTTTCTAGAGCTGAGATTCCATATGGGGCCCAATGACTCGCACTTCAACCCGAACATTTGAAAAGAATATGGAACTTCAACCCAAAACATCTAAAAAAGAGTATGGAAGAAATGTAGACACCTGGAGAGAATGTGGAAGGAATGCTTTCAGCCTCTGCTTTACAATATCTGTTGGGGATATATCAAGCTCACAAACACCCAACAACACACAGGGTCACAGGGTTTCTTTCCGTTTTTTTATACACGTAAATGCAAAATAGGTGCTTATATTTAATATACAAATCATGTGGTTTGTATGATAGTTATATAATGTCTTTTTATCAGAAACGACAAACGATCCAAGGTGAAGAGAAGACCATGTGATTTTAACTCCATCGGGGTTCGCAGGGCATCCAGTTGTGGATGCCTTGAAATCGCATCGAGTGCGCCGGCACGGCATGCCGTGGAGCTGCACGCAGATTTCTAGCGATCTAGCATTGGAAATGTGGGGTTTTTGGTAGATCAGTCATCCGCCATGAGTAACCATGCCTCTGGTGAAGATTGGAACTACCACGAACAACGATGAGAGCGCTTACCGCACTGCTCTTTTCTCATTGGGTTTCTCCACAGGGTCACTTGACATGTCACAAACGCTGGTGGGACAGAGACTTCATCTTTCTTTGTCGAATTGCTGTAATGGTGCAGTATAGCCTTCGAGCACCCACTTTTCCAAAGGTTTGCTGTGCTAACATCCTATTGCCGGACTTGCTACAATGATCATGTGAGTTTCTGACATCAACCAGAAAGGGTTTGGGACATGATGACTTCAAGAAAGTCCATGATCCTATATAAAGACAGGAAATGACAGGAATACTTATTCATGAAGGCTTTTCGAATGGTTCAAATTAGAAGAGCATTCTACTGCAGCCACGTGCCACTGCCCCATTTTCTGCTGAAGCAGGAATTGCAGCCATTGCAGCACATACAGAGTTCTGCTTCGCATCTTTTCAGGATTTTTCTTGGGCATCAGTGTTCTGTGGCCCAATCAACTCCTTGTTAATGCAAAGGACGATCTGACCGATAGCAGAATGCTGGAAAATACTTCCTTCACCAAACAACCAAACATGCCAAACATTCCTCATTCTCTTTTAACGTGGTTTAGTGACATTCCATTGCCAAATATATTCCCAATGGCTCATGATTGAATCCAGACGATCCAAATCGCATCGCCCTCGCCCGCAGTTTTGCTTCAGGGTGCCGCATCCGAAGCTTGTGGCCTGTCAGTTGCCAGACTGGGGTCCATCTAGAAAAGAAACTGAATCAAGGACTGTGGCATTTCCGGAACAGAAAATGCACAACCATGATGTTGATCCCACATCTAAACAGTCTGAACATTCATATTTGCCAAGAGTTTGGGAGTTTCAGTGAACCGAGTGTGGCAGCTTCGCCCTGTGTTTCACCTCTCGAAGGAGAGTGAAGGATGCCGGCGTAGCATCAGGCGCAGCGCAACACGAGAAGACAGTTTGACAAGCTCGCCCTTACATAATTGTGGGGTACCATCAGGCAATCTGAGAAAGCAGTTCTCAAACTCTACAAAGTCCCGAACTGATGCTTCTAAATTTGGAAAAATAAGCAAAATGTTTTGGCGAACCCCAATCCCAAGAAAGAGCCACTTGCACACTTGCTTCCATGTACTATTACACTTGGCAGATTGGAAAGATGTTTCTTAGGGTCGAATGTTTTTCTACCACACGCCAGAATTTGTAGAGGCGGAAGTGTGAAACCTCATTGGATTTTGGGTGACAGCTTTGGGACTCTGTGGCTGAATTCACATCCAGATGATGTTGTTGCTCAATTCAGATTGCCTTCAACTGTCCCTGCAACATGGCTGCAAACTCTGCGGTCAATTGCAGAGGATTGTTATGGATTGTTTGCTGCGCGCTGACCCGCGTTGCACACAGTGTTGCACCACAGCTGATTGTTGGATCAGGACGCAGAATGGTTTCGTGATTTCTCACCGACCTGCTGGTGACTTGGGATATAATTGGCTGAATGGTACCATATGGTACCTCAATCCCAGGAGTGACATCACAAGTGATGGTAGCCCTCTATCCAAGTCACCAAAAAAGGATTGGGCTGAGTTCACCCAACCATCCGGGCGATCAAACGCGCGTTTGCAGGCATCAGACTTTAGGGGTGGCTCCGATAGAGTTGGTCTGGAAGACGATTCCCCAGATGTTTGTTTTTGGTCTTTCACCTTGACCGAAACTGGATCCAGGCAAGGAACGGATGTTGGTTGTTCGTCATTGAATCGAAAAGATCGCAAATGCTATTGTTCAGCCACTGGCCATTTAGGGGGGCTATGAACTATGTAGCTCCTAAGCCTATGGGCACCTACGGATAAACTTCCAAGTACATATCATCTCCCAGTTGAATATCCTAAAAGTCTACAAGTCTGGAAAGCCGTCGCTTTGAAATTGTCAGGTAGCTAAAAATAATTGAATTCCTGAGATCAACCAAGGCCTGCCCGCGGTGCCTCTGGCGCTTGGTTCAGTGCGCCATACAACGGCTTCTTGAGGCGCCAGTTGGAAATTTAAGCTTGGTGCTGGACATTGAAGAAAACCGATTGACACACACGTGTAACATGGGATTCTCAATCTATCGGGGCAGTAAAAGATTGCGCTTATAGAAAATCTGATACCTAGTGGGGTTGATTGAGAGAGAAAAAAGAGAGAGAAAGAGAGAGAGAGAGAGAGCGAGAGAGAGAGGTAGAGAGGCAGAGAGGTAGAGAGGTAGAGAGGGCCAGAGGTAGAGAGGCAGAGAGGTAGAGAGGTAGAGAGGGCCAGAGGTAGACAGGGCCAGAGGTAGAGAGGGCCAGAGGGAGAGAGGGCCAGAGGGCCAGAGGGCCAGAGGGCCAGCCAGGCCAGGGGGCCAGAGGGCCAGAGGGCCAAAGCTGGAGCAATGGGTCGGGGGTGCCGGGGTATGTACTGTTCCTGAAGGGTGCTGCTGCCTCATTGACTGCTATGGATCTACAAGTCCGCCCTGGAGTATGTTGCCTGGTTTTCATGCTCGGATTATCTAGATGAGGTGGAAGACCTTTGTAAGTTCTCTCATTCTGCGACCCATGTTTCGTCAATGAAAGAAACTCTTACCAAACTAGTGCGACCCATGTTTCGTCAATGAAAGAAACTCTTACCAAACTAGCACATTCCCTATGTTTGACAAATCTTGCAGCCTTTTTGAGATGCTACGTTAGGTCTGCTGTGATGGTTTTGAACATGTGCGAAACAAATACGACACTAGCTTAGATTCCCATGATTGAAGTCTGTTACAGCATGTGCTTCATTATTGAAAGGGGCGTGCAGCTTCTTTTTTTGCGCGACATTTTGATAGACTTCCGTCAGTTTCATGACGGTCATGACCTCATTGGTTGCCAAACCCACGCCCATGCCACGATTTGCTGGCTGATGACCTGGCTTCAGGCTGCAATTGGCAGGTTTCTTCCTCGAAGTCCCATATTACAAGGCCGCCAACATGCACGTGGCATGAATGTGATAGGTAGGATCCCACAATAGCAAATCATGTGTTGGAAAGAAAATCTTGTTTTCCCCAACAGGGTAATTCCCAACAGGGTAAGCTTGCGGTCTTGCGCCATAGTAAGGGTTTCAGAGCAGCTCAAATCCACATCCCCAAAGTTCCCAGCAAGGTTCCCAAGAACAGGTTCCCAAGCAAGGTTTTTCAAGCAAGGTTCCCAAGCAAGCTTCTTGAGCAAGCTCCCCAGGCAAGGTTCCTAAGCAAGTTCCCTGGCCAATCCATGGGATTGTTTTTTTGCTGTTGTGACCATGTCAGTCCATTTCAGGGCTTAAGCAAGTTCCATCATCTGACGTGCAAAAACACCAACAATAAAGTGACACGAAGAATGAAAATGTATACAATTATATATAGACGTATAATCACAGTAGACATTGACCGTATAAAACAACAGCGATAAGGTATATGTCCCCCCCAGCTGCGACTTATATGCGCCCAGGGGCGGGACTATACATATAATATATTAAGCAGGTACGTTTACACAGGAACATTGCAGCGTCTTCGTTGGCCGCTGACTGCAATGTTCCCCAGCGGCCCCCTGCCGTAATAAGAAGTTTTACATCTATACAGATGGTACGCACACACGCCCCGCAACAGCGGGGAAGATGAAATGAAAATGAAATGAAAGTTACTTAACCAGGACGCGAAGAGGGGAACGCAAAAGAAGAGGGAAAGAGCAAACACCAACACAAACACACCTGGCCCAGAACGGGCAAACCCTGAAAAGGCAAGGAAAGAAAAAACGGAGGCCGACAGAAACGGAACCAGACCAGCGGAGGAGGGGGAGGACGGAAGCGCCTGAACCAACCTACCACGGCGAAACCTAAGCCTACCCTGGCACGCGCAGGACCCAACCTACCTGGAGAGGAGAAGAACACATGAGATAAGGGACCCATGGGGAAAAAAGTTAGTGACATGATGCATTCACACTGCATGCAAAAGTCGTGATAAGGCTCAAAGGCCCTCCGCTGTCAGGTCACAACCCTATCTACGGCTGAAGTGTTGTTCACCCTTCGAATCGTACCAGAGTAACCAAAAGGAAGAGACCACACCTGGAAAGCATGTCCTGTGCCTTTCTTCTTCGATGACATGACATGAAATGGCACCAGTCAATCTCTTGAATGAAAAAAGGAAAGTTGGCGCGGCTTTAGGCTACAAAACGCAATCATGCAGTCACACGGAAAAGGGTGAAGCCAGTCACAGCGGCCAACTGTTTCAACACTCACTCGACCGATGGGTGGGAAGCTGAAAAAAAGAACAACTGTTTCACTTTACTTAAACGAATTACTGCGTTGAAAAATGTAAATTCAGAGATCAAGTCGAGGATTCGCTCTCCTACCTCGAAAGGTATTCCCCGAAGGGTTCATGCCACCGTGACGAATCCAGCATGAATCACACACTTGGTCAGAACAGTCTTTGCGAATTTTGATGTGAAATGCATCTGACGTGCAAAAACACCAACAATAAAGTGACACGAAGAATGAAAATGTATACAATTATATGTAGACGTATAATCACAGTAGACATTGACCGTATAAAACAACAGCGATAAGGTATATGTCCCCCCCAGCTGCGACTTATATGCGCCCAGGGGCGGGACTATACATATAATATATTAAGCAGGTACGTTTACACAGGAACATTGCAGCGTCTTCATTGGCCGCTGACTGCAATGTTCCCCAGCGGCCCCCTGCCGTAATAAGAAGTTTTACATCTATACAGATGGTACACACACACACACCGGTTTCACACAATCTGTTTTGCGACCTTTTCCTTTATTTCTCTGCCTTTCCCATCCCATTTTCACACCTGCTTTGTGCTATTGGAAGAAGTTGACATGTAGGGTTATCCGGCCCTTTAATTTTTGATTGCATTTCTGGGTTGTCTGCAGCACAACAGAGATGAAGGCTTCAAAATACGCAAAGCAAAGTGCAAATTCTTGGGGGTTGAAATTCCATGGAATTCTCATCCCTACAAGTGGCTGCCAGCGACGTTGCATCTTGTGGCACTTGGCAAGGCAAACGAGCCCAGCATGCTTCTGGCAGAGGCACTCAAATTGGATCCGCCCATTTTTTTAGAAGGATCTCCAGGTTTCATGCTGTGCCCCAGGAAAATGTGTGATTTTGGCCGGAACCATTTTCGAGGCAAGCCGTGCAGGCATCCTGCGCGATGCAGAGCCCAATCAAAGTTTTCTTACGGCCGGGACGCCTGGGATGCTTGGGGCCTGCTGCGCGCGAGATCTGGGCTAGATCCTCTTACGTAATGATGCAAGGGATCATGCAGGAGAAGGTGATCAAGCGCATTATTATGGTCACAGTAAATGCCTCACAATCAGAGATGTGGTTCAGAGGGGCGGTTCATTTGTTTTTGTCAGGATTAAGGCTGTGCAATTTGCATCAACAATACAGCACAAAGAGCCAAGGTTGATCACATGGAGTGACAACATACAGCAACGCAAGACCACAGCAATAGCTACACTTGTCGGCTACACTATGTTACTTTTGTTTCTCGCATCATGAAGATGCTGCCCGCCTGGTTCGGTTCCCTTGTTCTTGGAGTAAAGCGTACGATCCAGCCTTTGACTCGATGCAAAACAAAGCAAGGTAGAGTGAATTGGATAAAGATGCCAGATGTTCCGGAAATCCGTACTTCCAAAAAAATCACTAAGTAATACGTCGCTGGATCCCCAGCCCAAGGTTGTATATGGCAAGCGGCGACCGGGGTCAATGAATTAACAGATCACTCCATGGGTGAACACACGGTCTCAGGTCATAGCCTACCATGGGCAGAAGCTGTTCGAAGGCACACAGCTCAGCCTGGCAATCTTGGACGTCCACTCACAGCGTTAAAGTCGTCTCTATTCCCCATTCAAAATCGAACTTGGAACTCGATGGACCTCTTTCTTTTCAGATTTGATGTAGCAAACATGTCTTGTTATTTGGATGATCCCGTATGATTCACGCAGTGTTCCGTACATGTTGCAGGATTTCTCCAAGGTTTCACAGGCAGATTGGTGGTGACAGCTTTTCACTGCAGGTGACACAACCGATGTCACAGGAGCAGTCCGACAACTGGGTCAAAAAAACAGGGATGGTGAAGATGTCCTCTTGACAACATCTTCGAATTTTACATCAAAAGAATCTACTATTTTCTACTGGGCGCTTTTGAGCCCGGGTTGGCTCTCACTTGCTACTACCCAGGTCCCTCATTGTGTCAGCCCCTAAAGCTAATCCTTTTTTTGGTGCTCTAAAGCTCCGATATTTAAGGTTCATGGCCAGTTTGAAGCAACTAGACGACGGATGGCCCGAGAGCGTAGAAGAGCATGTTACTCTCTTGTTAGTAGTATCAAAGACATTGTAGCAGAAAGGAGATAGAAATGCTATGTCAGATTCTAAGCAGAAGTAGACAAAGATAGACACAAAAATTGAGAGACCGACAGAGACAGACAGCAAAGAAACACATACACACACAGACGCACAAACAAAGATACTAGACGCACACAAACACACACACAAACAGAACACCAAGAGGAAGACACATACACGCACACACACACACAGGCACAGACACACACGCACACAAAGAGGAAGACACATACACGTACACACACACAGGTACAGACATACACGCACACAAAGAGACAGACACGGGACGCGTTTGCACACAGAAGCTTTTACACGCAGACCCTTTTACACACAGACGATTTTACACACAGACGCTGACGCTTTGATGCAAAGCACTTCTACGCAACAACGCTTTTACACACAGACCCTTTCACACACAAACCCTTTTACACACAGACGCTTTTACACGCAGACACTTTTACGCAAAAACGCTTTTACACACAGATGCCTTTACACACATAACCCTTTACTCACTAACGCTTCTACACGCAGATGCTTCCACACACACAAACGTTTACACAGAGACACTTTTACACACACACGCTTTTACACGCAGACCCCTTTACACACAGACAATTTTACACAGATGCTTTTACACACAAACGCTTTTACACACAGAAACGTGTAAACACAGACCCTTTTACCACAGAAGACTAGAAGCTTTTACACACAGGCGCTTTTACACACAGAAGCTTTTGCACACAGAAGCTTTTACACACAGAAGCTTTTACACACAGAAGCTTTTTACACGCAGAGGCTTTGCACAAAGAAGCTTTTACACACAGGAGCTTTTACACAGACGCTTTTACACACAGACGCTTTTACACACAGAAGCTTTGACACACAGCAAGCTTTTACACACAGAAGCTTTTACACACAGACGCTTTTACACACAGAGCCTTTTACACACAGAAGCTTTTACACACAGAAGCTTTTTACACGCGGACGCGTTTGCACACAAAAGCTTTTACACACAGGAGCTTTTACACACAGGCGCTTTTACACACACACGCTTTTAACACAGACGCTTTTACACACAGACACCTTTACATTTTACACACAGACGCTTTTGCACACAGACGCTTTTACACACAGACACGTTTACACACGGACGCTTTTACACACAAACACTTTCACACACAGACGCTTTTACACACAGACGCTTTTACACACAGACGCTTTTACACACAGACGCTTTTACACACAGACGCTCTTACACACAGAAGCTTTTGGACACAGAGACTTTTACACAGAGCCTGCGATTGCAATTTTACTTCAGTTTTTGACGATGGAACCAAATTTCGTTCGAAAGGGTTGCGACCGGACCCACGCAAATCGCAATTTTACGTCAGTTGTTGGCGATCGAACCTCATTTCGCGCGAAAAGGGTTGCGCCAGACGCGTGCAATCGCAATTTTACCGCAGTTTTTGGCGATCGAACCTCATTTCGTGCCAAAGAGTTGCATTTCGTGCCGTCTCGTTGGCACTGCCCCGCGCCTTAAGAGAGAAATAGAAAAGAAGGAGAGAGCAAGAGGGCAAGAGAGCAAGAGGGCAAGAGAGAATGTGAAGATGAGAAGATGAGATGATGAGAAGATAAGCAGATGTGAAGATGAGAAGATGTGAAGATGTGAGGATGTGAAGATGTGAGGATGTGAGGATGTGAGGATGTGAAGATGAGAAGATGTGAAGATGAACAGATATGAAGATGAGAAGATGTGAAGATGAGAAGATGTGAAGATGAGAAGATGTGAAGATGAGAAGATGTGAAGATGAGCAGATGTGAAGATGGGTGAGGATGTGAGGATGTGAAGATGTGAAGATGAGAAGATGTGAAGATGTGAGGATGTGAAGATGAGAAGATGTGAAGATGAACAGATGTGAAGGTGAGAAGATGTGCAGATGTGAGGATGAGAAGATGTGAAGATTTGAAGATATTATGCGAAGATGTGAAGATGTGAAAATGTATGACAGACCCCCACTATTAGAAGAACCCTTCGTTCAGACGCTCTCGTGAAAAAAAAACTGAGGCTCTAAGTGAAACTCTCGCAATGTATTTTCGAGTCAGAGTCGTTGATACATTTCCTTGTTTCAAATGGCAAACTGAAGGAGTTCCCCATCATGGCATAGGTTTGGGCGCCTTGAGTCTAGGCATATCCATCCAAGGAGATTGGAAGCGCTTGGAGGACAGAGATCAATTCTTAGCCATGGAGCCACTCAGCAGCCATTGGTCAACCGACGCAACCCACGAACAGGGCAAGTGCAAGTGCAGTTTACGTTGTAGCTGGGATGGCTCCTTCAAATTTGTCCAGTGATGGAAAGTATTGCGTTTTTCTGGTGAATTCAATCAGTTCAGCCACTGCCAAGGCTTCAATCCCCAAGGCGACGTGGAGTGCGGGAGCCTGCGTGCAGGATCTTTTTTCCCCGCCTGCCAGGTGAGGGTTGTTAGATTTTATCAGAGTTTTTCTCCTCCTCGGCTAGCTGTCCTCCTCCTCCTCCTCGTCCTCCTCCTCCAGTTTCTCCTCGACCATGTCTGCATCAACTTCCACCTGCACTTCCGCCTTGCCATTTCTTGGCCAAGCTCTTTGCCAACTCTCTTCGCCAAGCTCTTTGCCAACTTCCCAGCTCAGTGTGCACCGCTGGACCTCACCCTGGGACCTTCCCAGCTCAGTGTGCACCGCTGGACCTCAACCTGGGAGCTGCCCAGCTCAGTGTGCACCGCTGGACCTCAACCGGGGACCTGCCCAGCTCAGTGTGCACCGCTGGACCTCAACCGGGGAACTGCCCAGCTCAGTGTGCACCGCTGGACCCCAACGGCCAGATAGAATGCCAGAAGATATGCCAGATAGAATGTCAGATAGAATGCCAGAAGATATGCCAGATAAAATGCCATGAGATATGCCAGATAGAATGCCAGAAGATATGCCAGATAAAATGCTAGAAGATATGCCAGATAGAATGCCAGAAGGTATGCCAGAGAGAACGCCAGAAGACCTGCCAGATAGAATGCCAGAAGATATGCCAGATAGAATGTTAGAAGATATGCCAGATAGAATGCCAGAAGATATGCCAGATAGAATGCCAGATAGAATGCCAGAAGATATGCCAGAAGGTATGCCTGAAGATATGCCAGATAGAATGCCAGAAGATATGCCAGATAGAATGCCAGATAGAATGCCAAAAGATATGCCAGAACATATGCCAGACGATTTGCCAGATAATATGCCAGAAGATATGCCAGGTAGAATGCCAGAAGATATGCCAGATAGAATGCCAGATAGAATACCAGAAGATATGTCAGATAGAATGCCAGAAGATTTGCCAGTAACAAAATGTATAAATGTCATGGTGGGGATCACACGAAGTAAAGTAATTTTTGGGTGTGTGTGTGTGTGCGTGTCATGCATTCGTTATTGTTATTAGGTTCATTTGCTTTTGATTCATTGATTATTTTCAGTCATTGCATCATTCATCATGGGTTCATTGGTTCATCCATTGTTTCTTTTAGTCATTGGCTCATTCCTTCCCTTTCCTTACCTTTCCTTCCCTTTCCTTGCCTCCTTCTGTCATTCATTCATTCATTCAGTCAGCCATTCATTCATTCATGCATCATGCATGCATGCATTCATGCATTCCATTTATTCATTCATTCATTCATTCATTCATGCTTTCTTTCTTTCTTTCTTTCTTTTTCATTTCATTTCATTTTATTTCATTTCATTTCATTCATTTCATTCATTCACTCATTCACTTCATTCATTCATTCATCGATTCATTCATTCATTCATGCATTCATTCATTCACTCACTCAGTCATTCATTCATTCATTCACTCATTCACTTCATTCATTCATTGATTCATTCATTCATTCATTCCTTCCTTCATTCCTTCATTGCTTCATTCCTTCATTCCATTCCTTCATCTCATTCGTTCATTCATTCGTTCATTCGTTTGTTCATTCAGTCTTTCATTCACCCATTCATTCATTCATGCATGCATTCCTTCATTCCTTCATTCATTCATTTCTTCATTCATTCCTTCCTTCATTCCTTCATTCCTTCATTCCTTCATTCCATTCCTTCATCTCATTCGTTCATTCATTCGTTCATTCATTCGTTCATTCGTTTGTTCATTCATTGGTTCTTTTAGTCATTGGCTCATTCCTTCCCTTTCCTTCCCTTTCCTTCCCTTTCCTTCCCTTTCCTTCCCTTTCCTTCCCTTTCCTTGCCTCCTTCTGTCATTCATTCATTCAGTCAGCCATTCATTCATTCATGCATCATGCATGCATGCATTCATTCATTCTTTCATTCATTCATTCCTTCATTCATTCACTCATTCATTCATGCATGCATTCCTTCATTCCTTCATGCATTCCCTGATTCCTTCCTTCATTCATCCATTCATCCATTCATTCGTTCATTCCCTCGCGCCGTTGATATCATGTCTTTTCTTTTGCATTTCAACCACCCTTTGACCATTCATTGATGCAACTCACAACCTCAATCTTTCTTTGTTCCTGCAGTTCACAGACATTCCTATAGGCCATTGATTTCTTATAGCCAACTTTTTCTCGAAACTTCCGGCCCGAGCACGGCGTGAACGCAGATCATGCCATATCCAACTGCCAATCCTTCAGGATGTGTTGGAGCGGTGCTGGAACAATACATAAAAAATGGCACCGGTGAACTTCGCCAGGAAGTCAACGCATTCAGCACCCGGGGTCCCTCCGACTGCGGCCAAGGTCTGGCTCTTTGTGGGGCACCACTTCGCTCAAGTCACTGAAGGCCTGCCATTTGATCATAGCTGTGATCGCTCTTGGAGCCAAGATTCACAAGAGGGGTCAGAAGAGGTTTTGCGGATAACTCTTTTGCTGTGGAACAGTTTGCCACCAAGCACTTCAAAAGAGTTTGAAGGGGGGAGGTTTTGTCTCTGACCCTCCCATGGTTGTTTTCGGCGTAGAGCGGCAAGGAAACTACCCATGCACGCTTACAGACCAACACTTTCAAATGGCAAACGGGTGTGTCGTAAAATCGGGCACATCGTGCATCCCACAATGGTAGCTTGTGAATAGGGAGAACGATAGTAAACCATATGATTTGGGCGTTCCCTGTTTTTTTTGGTTCAGCCATGGACAGTCATTGAGTGCCGGCATATCACTGTGTCCTGCACTTAGTGGAAAGTATCCGTATGATTGATATCCGATAGATATCCTTTTATCATATTATTGAATATGTCTTTCGGGGTTGTCCAAAGTATTCCCGCAAGTGTTTCTGACCTCTGGCTACTCCTGGCCTCAGGACGGCCTGATTCTTCGGCCTCAGAAGTTCGGAACCCGAAAGTGGTGCCGCAAGGGATACCCCCCACCACATGGGACAATCGCTTGGCCCTGCCACATGCGGCACACGCGCTTGCAATGATACAATTGCATGCGATTTTGCAAGCAATCCAGATCCGCAAGCAGGATTATATAATCAATTGTCATTCACCAGAGGTACATTAAAGCAGTGACAGCATAATGAAACCCAACTAAATTTTGTCCTGCTCAATGGTTGCCATGAAAAGTTTGCCAATCACACACACAGTAACATTCAAAGACGTTTAGAACTACTTAGAAAGTTACTTAGAATTGCCCTTCTAGAAGCCTGGGCACTTCTGGCAATGTTGCCGTTCTTTATGCACAGCCCTCCGTGACCAATCCTCATACCCGTTATCTCCACTGTGGTAACTTGTGCTGGGTCATGAATGACTGAGGTCCATGCAGAGAACAGCGATTTTCAGGTCATTGTGGGCCAGGCGCCAAGCTCAGCAGAAGCTTGGGAGATTCAAACTGACAAATCACTGCGTGAAAAAAGGGACGAAAACTGCTGGGCACCAAGAAATCGTGATTGCTTTTTGCAAATGAGCCTTGAATGTTTGTCAGCTCGTGGGAGGGGAAGCTTATTGCAGGGTAGATGTACATGTCGTTTGCTTGCGCTTGCACATGTACACCTTCCCGTTGCCGCACTCCACACGCAAACCTTGCATTGATCGCCGAAAAGCATGTCAAAGATAGACCAGGCAGCTTTGAGTCTAGATATTCCCAGCATCCCATCACTACCCAGAGGCCGGTATTGGGCATAGTCTTTATCAAAAGGAAGTTTCGCAGAGAAACTCCGAGTTACGGACCGTCAACATTAGCAGTTGCCAAGAAGTCGTGAGCCCAGCTGGCCGGTCCTGAAGTAGAGAAGTGGCTCAGAAGTCCTATGTCCAGTGTGCTGAGTATAGGAGAATCGGGTAGAATAGCACAGGCTAGAGTAGAGCACAGTAGAGTAGATGAGAGCAGAGTACAGTAGAGATAGAATACAGCAGAGCAGAGTAGGGTCCTGAATCAGAGAAGAGTACAGTAAAGTAGAGAAGGGCTCTCCTGTAAACACGTCTTCAAAATCGTACTTTTTGATCGCTTCGGCGCCGAGATCCGGTCTTGGAGCCGCAATTTCTGTTGCCATTGCGCATAGTTCTTTGGCATGTTGCAACTCGGCCTCTGCGGGTCAAAGTGGGGTGGCTGCATCAAAGATCCAATTCTGTTCCTTTCAAAATTTGTTTGTAAAGGTTGTTTCAAGAATCCTACTTTTTTGCGCATTGGTGCCAAGATCTTCCGGTTTTCTCTGCTGCCAGGGCGCGTGCTTCTATAGTCCTTTGCAAATCAGCCCTGCATATCGCGTGGGTGCAAGCAAGGTTCCTTGGTGCTGCGGCTCCGCACGTAGAAGTTTCCAAGGGAAACCCCGAGTTACAGATGAAGTGAAATTAGCTCATGCTCGCATTAAGTAAAGGGGAAGTCAGTTAGATGAGAAGAGACGAAAAGAATTGACAAGAGTCGAGAAGAGGTAAGAAGAGCTGAGAAGAGGTGAGAAGAGTTGAGAAGAGGTTGGGAAGAGGTGAGGAAAGGTGGCAAGAGGCGAGAAGAGGTGAGAAGAGGTTGAGAAGAGGTGAGGAAAGGTGGCAAGAGGTGAGATGAGGCTGCGAAGAGGCGAGAAGGATTGAGAACGGTTGGGAAAAGGTGAGAAGAGGTGAGAAGGTGAGACAATGTGAGAAGAGCCACGAGAAGGGTTGGAGAGATGCGATAAGGGAGGAGAAGAGGTGGAGAGCAGGTGAAAGGAGCTGAGAAGAGTTGAGAAGAGTCCAGCAGATGAGAGAAAAGCCGAGAAGAGTTGAGGACAGGCGGCAACAGGTGAGATGAGGCTGCGAAGAGACGAGAAGGATTGAGAACGGTTAGGAAAAGGTGAGAAGAGGTGAGAAGAGCCGAGAAGCGTGGAGATGAGGTGAGATGACGTGAGAAGAGGTGTAGATGAGTCGAGAAAAAAGTTGAGACAAGAGTTGAGAGAATTTGAGATATCATTGCAGTTCCCATAGGCAAAACTTGTCCGTCACTCCAATAGAACCATAGCTTCTTAGGAAACTTCCGCCACCCGCTTTGTGCGGTTTTTGCGTGTGCCCTGCAGCTAAGTTTTCTTAGGAAGTTTTGTTTCTAGAAAATGTTGGATCGCAACCAATCTCAAGGTCTGCTCATGTTTTTGCATCGTTCCTGCGGGACCCTTCACCAGCTGATGATTTCTTAGTTGCCTGATGTGATCTGATGGTATCTATCTGACCTTCCCAGGTGACAAGCCCAGGGCGTTTGGAATCCTTCACTGCCGAAGGTGTGGCCCGTGTGGCCGACATCTGATTAGGTTGTGAGGAACTTTGGTGTACCGTGATTCTATGAGTTGGTCGGATCAAAAACATTGCCCACAACCATAAGTCCGCCATTTGTCCTGTGTTGTTTGAGCGACGACCGGGGACGACATCATACTTTGTCCAGGTCATTCATCCGTGCACTTCAATGCAATGGTCGATTCGGGGACCTTCAAGGCTATGCGGAAGGGCGAGGATGGACCTTAGATAGATTATTCACATTATGTCCTGACATCAAGTGTGAATGCGCAGTTTGAATTTTTGCGGACTTGGGAGCATTGGACCTTCTTGGTGACATCGTGATAGGCAGCATTTTGTTGTAGTTGGTGGGTTTTGGATCTGTGCTGGTACATGGCCATGCACGCAGATCATTCGGACGTTGCTGAAGTTTCCGGATGATTATGCTGTCAACTAATATCCTTCCAAGAGTGAAGTGAGTAGTGTTTGGATCCGGTCAGCGGCTGAATAGTTGTGCCAGCTCGAGGATGGGATGTTCGAATGGACTCTGGATGGAGAGGTCCAACGATGGAAGGCAGGAAGTTGATTTGAAAAAGTTGGTGTCAAAACAAGAGCTTCGTGGTTTGTCTCAAAGCCAAACCATTCAATCTTTGGAGTGCCATTGATTTCTCTAGATTCTGGATCATTTCGGCATGTGTTTGTCGTTGCTTTGGCCGCTGTGGGTTTATTCATTTGAATGTCAGTTGAATGGGGCTAGGCCCAGAAATATCATGGGATTTTATCAGACAGGTAGTGGATCTTTGGAAAACGTGCGAGCTTTGTCCAGGGAATTAGGTTGCCAAAAGAGCAAAAGCGGATGCTTTTCCTTAAAAAAAGATTCCATCGTCTAGGGCCCAAAATGCGCTCACCAGACAAAGTTGAATCCCGACACAGATTGCCACTATCCACTCCCATGGCACATGGCAGGTTCACGAAATGACCTTCAACCCCTTTGTCAGCATTGCCAAGGTGATATCTGCAGGGAATTCCAAATCAGCAAGTGGAAGATGGTTCTGACTTTGCTCCTGTCCTTACAAAAACAAAACAATTGGTAATTCGTTGCCGGTCTACGAAGGCTTGATCTTGTTGGGCAAAGGGATTCTTTCTCTTCGAGCCATCTTGGAGGAGCTTGATCCCAACGAAGCTGCAAGCGACAAGACACCTGAGGTTGGGAATTGGGCACTTCAGGGGGCAGGGACATCCTGCTACTGAACACCTCCTATTTGAAGCAAAGTGCGACTGCAGCAAGCTTCAAGCTCAGCAAGTTTCCGCAATGTCCTATGCTCCGGCTGTGCCGTGACTCCCGAGCTAGGACAGTATTTAGCTTCTATTCTATCCTCTGTGGTTTTTGGAACATATTCTAAGGTAAACGAAATCAACTAACCAGATCCCAACCGATGAAATATTCAACTCGACCCCTTGTCGCTCGTTCCGCGTGCAACTTCCACTTGTCGCCTTCTTCTGGTCTTCCTGAGAGGTCGGGAGCGGATACCCCAAAGGGAGCAAGGTGAAATATTGGAGCGTCACGGTGCGGACCCTGTCAGTTTGGGTATGGGCTGCGATAGCAGACGCTTGACACCCTTGGAACTAATGTGCCTTGACCAAGATGGGTTATCAGCTTCTGACGTACTGCTAGAGGCTGAGCCAGCCATGCAGATTGAACACTTCTGCCAACTAATTAACTCATGAAATCATGAGAACCAAAGAAGAAATATCCCTTGCTGCTGGAACCACCAGTGTAAATGAGCACCGAACGTTCTTGGGGAAGTGAGGCCCTTCGTTTTGTACATTCTCCCAGGTTCAAAGATGGATACCTGCCACCATAGTCAGCCAGAATCAGGAGCTATGTCGCTGCTGTTGCCACGCGCGGTTTCTTCGCGCAAAAATCCATTGCTTCGATCAGAAACATCAGAAACAATTTAGTTGTTCAAAGGTGAACATCTCGGTGCAGCGACACATTCTTTTCATTTCCTTTCACTGCAATCCTTCCAGGTCTATGAGTCGTATGAGTCGCATGAGGTTGAAGTGAAGATGTTTATTAGCCGACATCAAATCTAGGTTCAGATCGTTGCAGGTGCCAGACACTGCGAAACTCACAAGCTGCCAGTCGCCCATGGGAGGACGGCACCTACCGTTTGGACGTGAAGAAGCGTGCAGAGCCGTCAGGAGCTGAGGTGGGTTGAGGCGATAGAGGCTGCCCAGCCGAATGACTCGATAGACAAAGAAATGGGATATGGATAGATCAGATAGGCTGATAGGCTTGGTACCTTGGTACGTCCACAGCTTTTGCCGTCATGGTCTATCCCAGTTCATGCTATGCAACTCTTACAACTTTTATGAGGTTCAGTTATTGTCATGTCTTGTTTTCAATCGCTGACATGGTTCCTTTTCCAAACTGCAGCAACGGCATACACATTCCCACATACGAAGGCACAAGTTGCTGCTCAGGCATCACCTGCGGTGGCCCCACCAGGCAAGGGTGCAATTTGCTCTCGTAAACTGCGATCTGAGCCCCGGCAGAGTGGCCTTGTTGCAGGCTGGAGATCTGCCGCCGACACCGAGGCTGAAAGCACAACTGCAGACCAAATTCCATTGGTAGTTGAAAGATTGGCCGGTCCAAGGATGATACAGTTTGATATGGCCAAGACGGTCTCCCGTTTCGTTTCCTTCAGGCATGAACCCCAGGTCGCCCGATCTGTCTGTGGTTTCCGAGGCCGGACAAAGCACCGGCGAAACAGAAGAAAGGCCGAAATGGCTGAGTGGAAACAGCGTGTTTAAATATGTCAAAAAGAAAAGGACTTGTTGGCGTTTGAGTAGTTGACGTGTCTTCTGAGCATTGACCCGCAATGTGGTGATGCATTCTATCGACGATGTTGTCAGTTGAACTTTGTTTGGTTTCGACAAAATTTGCTGATCCGAACCTTTGAGATGAATGGGAAGTTGTACATGTCAGACGTGCTTGTTGGATGAAAAGGCAATTGAAATGAATTAATTTTTTCCGAGTCAAGTTCGGCTTTCACTTCAGGAGGTCAAAAGAAAGCTCGGGGCAAAGCACCCGAAGTCCAGGAGTCTAAATGTCAGCAAGGTTCATAGTTGCACCAAGGGGTCTTTCTACCAGCTCTATGGTGCTAACTGGATGAGACCCTGAAAGTCTACTGGCTTGAGGACACTTCAGACACTTCATCCTCGAAAGCAAAGAGAAAAAGGAAGAAGAAAGGCAAAGACAAGCGCAGTCAGAAGAAGGACCTGCGGCCAATCTGCAGACGTCAGAGATTTGGTGCATTTGGCCCTCTCCCTTTGTAGGGTCAAATTGTGGACCTGGTAGAGGCCTTTGACAAAGTGGGGTCACTGCAGGTCACCTGGAGAACCACACCATGTAGCCCCAGATCTCAGTTGATTAAGTCCACCAGTGTCTACCACTTTGCCGATCTCGGCCAATATAGAGGCCTTCCATGGCAAGTTTGATCTTCCTACGACTCTAGCTTCGTGTTTTCTGTACCCAGTGAAATTCAAATTGCTAGACGAAAACCCCAGGCGCTTCACACACCAGATATCCTGACCATCCCTCCGCCCGAAGGAAAAGACCAAGCCATCTAGCAATTCCGAGGTGGGCAAACTGAGGTAAGACTCCATGTGGGGGGTTCCTGAAATGGGGGTACCCTTAAATCATCCAATTTAATAAGATTTTCCATCACATTTTGGGGTACCCCCATTTATGGAAACCTCCATGTGGGGCATTGTGGGGCTGACGAGCTGGAAAGCATGACCCATTTATCGTAACACCGGCGGTGATTATGGACGCAGCCCAAGTTATTCCATTCAATTGGTGGGATGCCAAGCTCGCTTGGGAAGTTTGGGGTTGCAGTATCAAGCGTCATATTGAGCTCTTGAAGTATGTGCAGGGCCCATTTTCTGACTTTTCAACTAAAGTCGCTCAAATTGTCAACTGCACCTTCAAATCCTGTGATCGAAAGGGGACAAACTTAAGCAGACCAACAGATTGCAACTTGGGAACGTATTGGATGCCATACCAGAAGCAAGATAAAGGCACGAGGAGAATGCTGCAGAATTAAAAGGCAGCGGTAAGGCCCGCCAAACCACAAGTTTGTGTTTGTGGGTTGCAAATCCTTGAACTACCCAAGTCGATGCGCGATTGCGTAGGATGGATGGGATGGGGTCTTTCAAGTCGATAGGATAGGATCGATTTGTTGTTTTGATGAATGGTAGCCAAACATGGACCATGTCCTGTAAGTTGGCATCCCGAAGACAGGACTCATCCAGCAGATCTGCCAGCACATCTAGCGAAGGCATCCTGGATGTGGCAAGAAGGAACATTTGAAACTATAGTACTAATTTCTTCCAGTGATCCCCACCCTGACACACTATTCTTGCATAGTTTCTACATACCACCTGGAACATTCTGTCTGGCATATACTCTGACATTCTACCTGACATTCTTTCTGGCATTCTATCTGGCATCTATTCTGATATACTTTCTGGCTTGCATTCTGACATTCTATTTGACAATCTTTCTGTCATTCTGCCTGGCATCTTATTTGGCATTCTATCTGGCATCCTTTCAGGCATTCATGCTGACAATCTATCTCACATCTTTTCTGGCATATATTCTGACAGTGTTTTTGACATCCTATTTGGCATTTGTTCCGACATTATTTTTGGCATCCATTCCGACATTCTATCTGACAATCTTCCTGGCATTCTGTCTGGCATCTTTTCTGGCATGTTATCTGGCATTCTTTCTGCCAACATATGTAGCATCTGTTCCGATATTCTACCTGACAATCTTTCTCGCATCTTTCTGGCATTCTTTCTTCCATTATATCTAGCAGCTAGCATCTATTCCGACATTCTATCTGACAATCTTTCCGGCATTCTGTCTGGCATCTACTCTGTCATTTTCTTTGGCACTCTTTCTGCCATTATATCTAGCATCTTTTCCGACATTCTATCTGGCAATTTTTCTGGAATTCGGCCTGGCATCTTTTCCGACATTCTAGCTGACAACCATTCTGGGATGCTGTCTGGCATCTTTTCCGACATTCTATCTGACAATCTGTGTGGTATTCTGTCTGGCATCCATTCCGACATGCTATCTGGCACTCATTCTTGCATTCGGTCTGGCATCTTTTCCCACATTCTATCTGACAACCTTTCTGGCATTCGGTCTGGCATCTACTCTGGCATTTGGCATTCTTGCTGGCATTATATCCAGCATCTATTCCAACATTCTATCTGGCAATCTTTCTTGCACTTTGTCTGGCATCTTTTCTGGCATTTTATCTGACATGCTTTCGAGCATCTTTTCTGACATGCTGATGGCTCGGACCGGTTCTTGCCCACAGTCCCGGCGAGCTGGCAAAAGCCAGAGGCGGAGAAGGTGGAGGGGGAGAAGGAGTTGTACCTTTGTTAAAATCTAAAGATTCTCACCTGGCAGGTGGAGAAATACAGATACATTAACATTTTGGGGACTTTCATTCAACGTTCGCCCATACAAAAGATACGTATCCATAGATGTTATGTTGCTGTGTCAGTGACGGGCATTTCTCACACCTCCTTAGTAGAGGACGAACTACTTGACTGGGTTACTAACTAGGTGGGGTTTAGTAACATGTCAAAATTCGTTTGAACACAAGCAGACGGCTGTCTCCACTGCAGTCTCCACACATGCCACGGCAACGCGCCGAGCTCAGCAGAGCTCAGGCGAGACTTCAGCGAGTTCAAGTTCAAGTTTGCAGAGCTCGCCTTCGCTATCTCCAAAGAGAAAAGCGTCAAAGGCACCAAGAAAGGGCACTAAGACTAAGAAAACTGCAAAAGCAAAAGACTTGGATACTTGGGATGTTTGGTATACACTCAGGCCCACGGACTAAAATAGGAAGGAACAGGAGGGTTGTCCAAGCGCACTGCTTGGCTGGTTGAATGCAGATGTGGCCAGGGTCCATTTTGAGTATCCTGTGAACAAGAAGTAGCAGAAGTAGAGAATGGTACCAGTAAGATGACGTGGCTGTTCCCCGTACAGTCGTTTTTCCTAATCGCAGCTACTATGCTATTTCAGCAAGTGAAGAATTTTCTCTCCTGAAGTTCCCTATTTTAACACAAATCTAAATCCAGATTATGGGTTAGAATTTTAAGCCCGAACTCAAATGGGGTGATAAATCTCTGGTTTATCGCCCTTTATTTTGGCCTGCACAGAGGCGATACTCAAGGCCTTAATCCTCATGGAAGACTCCATTTCTGGATTCTTCCATCAGCAGTTGTGATTTCAGCGTAATTCCTCCTGAACATGGGTTGAGGGTGAGTCTGACAAGTCTTCATTCTTCACACACGTGTTGCTTTGTTGCGCTTTGGGCCAAACCAAGGAATTTCCAAGTGTTTTATTCAAAAGAGGTATGTCGGATTATGTTGCATTGACAAAGTTTAGGAAACCTACGCGCAGCACCTTTTCCCGCATGGTGCCTTTCGGCCGAAGGAGAAGCAGCGGAAGAATGACAAAACGGTGAAGAAGCGAACGAGTTCTTCCAGTTAGGCAAGGGACTTCACAACACGAGTCTCACTCAAAAGCCTTGCCCAAGTTCCAGGTTCAAAAGAACTCCATTCCAGCTCAGGATTCACAAGTCAAAAGCATTGCCAGCCTAAACCGAAGTGAGCCAATGAGTCGAACTGCCCTCCAAAGAAGAAATGTGGTGGAAATTTGGCAGGCGCGGATTCGTTGCTTCCCTGTCATGCTGAAGTGGTGAAGCCTGAGCCTTCGGAATGCATTCACTGCTGATAATGGGCAGGTTAGCAGCAAGCAACATACTGCAAGTGAGTTGACAGACGAATCTCAATGGATTTGAACGGCTCTGAGAACCACAACTGGAAGTTTGCTGTAGTTTCCTGTTGATTCCTGTTGTTCCTGATTCTGGACGTTGCTTCCTTTGTACATACTTTGTACATCTTTGTACATATGCCAGACGCAGTCTCTCAAGGCCTCGAGACATCTCGAGACTGGTTCAACAGGATCAGTGGAAGCCCATGAAAGCCTGTGGCGGCCTAGTGGGTGATGCCCATGGTGCTTTAAAGACCTAAAAGCACTCGACCTGTTTGCAGGGAAGCATTTTGAATCCATTTGAATCACCAATGATGTTTCAATGCCTTTTGCTGGCTGAGAATGGGGGTCATTTTTGGTCCCTGTGACTGCCTCTTTCTGGCTGCCAAATTGTCCGTCGATCTGCTTGCATCCCTTGCCTGCCTTTTTTTTGCCGGATTTTGCCTTTCGATTGCCATCTTCATCACCCTTACTATGTGTTTATTGCTTAAATCATGTTGAAGCACACCACTCTTTTACCTTTGTTGAACCAAACCATCCAAACCATTGGTGGTTGGGAAAAACAGCCACCAGCAGGTTGAATGCATCGAACTTGCGAATGCTCACAAAAAGATGTGCTCCCGGAGCATGTTTTGGTATCAATCTATGATATAAAAGAAAGTAAAAAAGGGGGATGAATGGCACCAGGATACTGCATGCACCGACTGATCTTGATTTGTCAAAATGGAAGCTTCTTTGGCTGGATGATGCAATATAGCATAATGCAGCAACTTCTCATGCGATGGATGGGCAATATGTTGGGAACGTCGGCCTTCCCTTGGGAATTGCCATGAGCCAACCATTCACTAGTCCAAGCAGAGGAAGTGGAACCAGAAGGATCATAGTCAAAAATGCATGCATACTTGTTCAGATTTGATATTATGTTCTGATGCACGGATCACACCAGCCTAAACTTGGGATCTGATATGAAATCGTCAAGGTCGTAACGATGAGAATCATTCGCTTTCCATGAAACCACTTCGAACCATATTCAAACCTGGGTGCGGGATGAGGGCGGATGATTCAGCTCTGGCAGCATTTTGGCTTAGTCGCTTAGTCTCGCTTCCCGTCATTGGTCGCTTGGAATCCATGTGGAATGAGGTTCACAATCTGGTGCCCTACACTTCCCAGGTTTGCACATGACGCTTGTTTTCTAAACTATGACATACCATGACTTTCCCTGGGGTTCCTTGTGTGGGAAATGTCAAGAGGTTAGATTGCCACCTTGCTTCAGTTTTGTAGGATCATATCATGAATCTTTGAACCCAAAAACTTATTGAACGTATAAGAATGTTGTATATTGACACGGAAACAGTCAGAAACCATGTAATGGTGCCTGGGATCATCACAGAACATTGACTGATTTACATTGACTCTAATGCAGCTCCGTAGCATTGGGCTTTTGCATCTTTGTGTGACCCCAATAAAGTTAGTAAACGAACAGGACGTCAATGATGTAACTTTGTACTGCAACCAATGGTGTAACATTGATGGAACTGTATTTCAGGATGTCGATGTGGAGTCAGGGTCACGGATGTTAACGAATTCTATGGCAGTCCGGTCTTGGTACCTCGGTGATGTTGCTCCAGCCTAGCAATGATGCAAAGTGATGCTTTCCTGTGGAATGATGGGAATGTCTGAAAAATGGGGCAATCATCATCTATCATCCATTTTGTGGTCATCGAATTGGAAAAATGAGCAAAATGGAAGTTTTCAGCTTCCAAAGGCTGCAAAAAAAAACGTCTTGTTTTGAAAAACATGTTTTTTGTTGGATTGTGTATTTGGTTTTTTTGTTTCAAATGCTTCTTGGCATTTGCAATCTGCGTTGGTTCTTCGTTGATCAGCAGAGGCCTCAGCAGAGGCCAACATCAGTTACGAAGCTTTTGACTTTCTAGCCCCAGGACATGTGCGTTTCAACAGTGTCAACGGAACATGACTGGAACTTCGAGACTACCAGGCGCGCAAGAGTCCAATGTGTTTTGGGAGGCTGAAGGTCTGTCACGGTGATCGATCCATCCACCGCATATGACATCATATGCCGATTCCAAAACTACTTGAGCGTGCACTTGCACCACTTATCCGACAATGTGCGAGTAGGTCTCTCGTCTTGAATTCGAGCAGAGAGATTACTAGAGAATGTCGCACATGGGCAATGTGCACAGCTGGGCGATCACCAAGTAGAAGGCCGCTTAAGCTGAACTGAGCCAGGCTCTGACGGGTCACAAACTGCAGGATCATAGACCCACGAAAGTATTCTTGGGTCCTCTATCAGAGTTACAAGCTGTGAAGGGGATTTTGAAGCTTGAAAACAGAATGCAAATACTGTGAAACTTCATTGGATTCGTTGGCAACCAGGATAATTATACTGCAGTTTGATAGTACGACTCCATCAAGCCAGATTGGTCACTGAGTGCCAGGATGGCGCCCGTCCTGGTCTGGGGCTGAACTGGGAGCTATGGAACCGGGAAACTGACGTGTGCAGGAAATTAGTAACGAAACTTCGAACATCTTAGGATATCCTAGGCACTTTTCCATCTCAAGGTGGTTGTGTCATCTAGAGAGCATTCCCTGGTTCCCCAGAAAAGTAAACTAAGTATTGATGTGTCCGGAACCTGTATTGGGTTACTGGGTCTTTTGTTTCCTATGATCATGCCTTTGAGTATGTGCTTTTGCCGGTACTTGTCTTCGTTGGATATTGAACCATTTTGCAGGCAAGTGCAAGATTTTGACCCCCGCAAAGACTCCTTGCTCTTTCATGACCTTGAAGTTTTTTCACCCCGAACTGGCACGTGTAGTTGTTTTTTTGAGAGGTACCAATGCAGAAAGTAATGACCTAATGACAACCAGCATCGAAGCAGCAAGCACCTCATGTCATAACGCCGATTTGGAGAGTGGAGCTGAGGACCTGCCGCTTCCACCCCTCGACAAGAAACGCTTTAGGCCATTTTAGTCACTGAAACATATTTTATGTCAAATTACAGTCATTTTAGCCATTTGTCAAATTCATTGTAGACATCTTTGGGTACGATTTATGAAATTCATGAGCTGAGGGGTTTGAACACATTCGAATTCTGCACCTGTCCGCCTTCTCCTGCTCCTCTTCTTCCGCCTCCTTCATACAACAACAATGTCACACACAACGTTGTCAAACAAACCTTTGCGTCTCATTGTAGCACACAACTCTTTCACACATACAAGTCTGCAACACAACCCCCTTGTATCCCATTGTCACGCACTCGTCACTGCCCGCACGATTCTGTCCATCATGTCTACGCTTCTGTGAAATACAGCTTTCCCTCCCTCACACCGTCTTCTTGACCGATCTGTTTGCCAGCGCCTCCTTCATTCCTGCCTTCTCCATCTTTTTTTTCACACCTATTCCGTGTTGGAAGAAGTTGAAATGTGGAGGTTCTCTGGTCCTTCAATTTTGGACTATCAGCCGGCTATCTTTCGAGATTGGTCACTGTCAGCAGCACATCTAGAAAGATAAGTGCTTCAATCACACCTGTTTCCTTGTTATGAAGTGGAAGAACATTTTGAGTTGACACTTGTCGAGATGTTCACAGGCTGGTTCACCTCTTGCCCTCGAATAGTGCACTTTGCATATAGGACATGAGAACATCCTACTTCGTGGTTGGGAAACAGAGCATGCCTAACACGTTTGGACACTCATAATACGATAACAAAAATTTGAAATTTACTCATGTTGATAGTCCTGCCCATGGTCTAAGCCTAAGCACAGCCTCGGCATGGTCTCATTCTGCTAGGCCTTTCCTTCCCTAACCAGCAGATTGAAAAGATACGAAAGTATGTTTAAGCCAATGGTGCTGGAAAAGGTCGAAGCCATTCATCTCTATCAGAGCATAAGAAGAGCATACCAGATAGAGGAAGAACTCCAGCGTCACCTGCGAGCGAAATATGGAAATGTGAATCCACATAGTGTGAAAAGCAGAGAACTGTATAAAGTCGGACACTTGGAAGCAGTCCTGGAACTCTTGCGTGAAATTGAGCAGAAACCTTCCTTCAAGGAAACAATCCCAAAAAAAAGAATAAAAGGAAATGAACATGTTCTCAGGGAGGCAAGATCCAAGTAATTGAACCGAATAGATCCTCACTGTAGGATCTCAGTAGGCACTCTGCCGTCACTCGCTTTCCGGGGGTGCTTAGTATTTAACTGTCAGGAGCTGCCAATCGACCCAGTAGTCTAGCTTTGCACTAATTCACGAAGCGACGCGAGACACTGAGAAATGGACCAATGAAAACAATATGAATCTGTGGCAGCCAACTGCTGGCATTCTGTGGCTATGGCATTATGGCCATGGCAGCGTTATTGGTGAGCAGGAAAACAGCCAATCAGCATTAAATGGAGGAATAATCCCCTCTTAATATTAAATACACCCCAATAAAGCATGCTTCAGTATAAGATTTGTTTATGCTGGCGGCCCCATACTGGGGTGTTTAATATTAGGGGATGGGATTATTTACTAGCAGCTATGTTTGTTCGCTCGAAGACTCCAACTTTGGTTTTTAGGCGCCAATGTGCCCACAACATTGGTGAACGTTGGCCTATTTTTTGATCTCCGGCCTTGTTGGGCCCCCATTCTGGTTCGGCATGGCACTCACTCTGTTGAAATGCCAGGTTTGTTGAGGTTTTGGCGCAGCAGGACAGACCAATCGGGCAGCAACTCAGAACGGAACAGCTAGGGGCATGTCAATGTGGCAAATTGATGTTAGAGGCTACATAACCTACATATACATCTAATTACATGCATATGGGATGTTTAAAACATCATCGAATCCAAATCGAATCTAGTGATTATCTTCAGGTTGGGGACTCTAAAGTGCTGTTGTGGAAATCCACTGTAGATAAACCTCGCAGGTGGTGAAAGCAAGGTACTGAGGTGGATGATGGTGTATGAGATAGTCGGCGTTGCTATGTTGAAGGAAAGCCCACCGGCAATCCGGTAAAATCATGCATTTCCAAAGAGGGAAGACAAGAGTCCTGTCTGTGCCAAAAAAAGCGCTAGCACCGCCTGAGAGAAATGCCGACTCCCAACAAAAGTTTCCTGGAACAATTGATGACGGTTCCTTATGTCTTTATTCATGTGGTTTTCCTGCTGCAGCAGTTTAAATTCTGCTTAGTCTTTGGACGTTCTCACACCCTGACAATTTGCTTCTGCCACACATGAAATTCGTATGATCGGATATTGATGTCTACATCATATTTTGCCACCCTGCTTTGAACTAACCTGTCGGCACACTTAAACCGAGATGCAATCTTGAACATCGGATTCATTGTTGCTCAACGCTACATTGGGTTGTTCCGACTCCGCAGGGTAAAGGTGTGATTGCTTGGTGCTTGCCCCACTGTGCAAAGACTGAGGATTGAACTTTATCATGACTGCCAACAAAACTGCAAGGTCATTGTTGGGTCGATGGCATCAATGACTCTCCTGGAGACTTTTTGTCACATACGCACCCTTGCTGAGCACTTGCATCCTGATGCTTTGGTCAGCTTAATTTCTCTCGGAAATTACCTGATTTCTCATCTGGCATTGCAACATGTTTGCATGGCTCACCGCCATCCATCAGTTACAACGCTATGTTTTTTTGGGTCTGTTTGGATCTACTTATTTGGGTCTTATTGGCATGTTGCGCAGATTGAGCCATTGACGCAGGTGGTGGGAAAGCGAATGCTCCGATCCTGGACCTTGGGCAGTGCCAAGGTGGGGGACCATGTAGGACACCCTTAGGGCCTTAGGACACCCTTGGGACCCTTGAAAAAAAACAGATCCATGTGGGTCATATTTTGTGCTGCAACTCGGGAACTTGATGCTGGATCGGTTTTGGCAGCTATGCGGAGTGTACATAACTCTTTAGCAGAACCTGTGGTTGATCCTGCCATTTCTGGACAACATTGATCGAAAATTAGGATGTACAAGTTGTATGTAGTTGTATACTTGGAATATAGCGATCAAAAAATCTTGCCGTATGGCCATATCATGTCTTCAATGCATTGGTGCGCTAGGAATTTTGAAAGCGTCAATTCATATCATGTCTTCAATGCATTGGTGTGCTAGGAATTTTGAAAGCGTCAATTCTGTCTGTGTGTTTCCTGGCGATGCCAAGTTACAGGAGTTTGAAGATGAGCATCCTGAGCTTTTGGAGAGCCCATGGAAGGACCCACCATTCTTCCACTTACAAAATTGGATCCGTGCAAATGCCATGGCAAAGGGTTCTTGTTTCTCTCAGGAGTCATGGGGGTGGAGGTGTGTTCGCTCGAGGTTGCTTTTTCATCCGAAACCGTCCACAACCGTTCGCAACCTTTCGCAACTGCTTCAACCGATCGCAACCGTCCCCAATAAAGGCTCTATGGCAATGCCAGTGGCGATTGCTGCAAGAGCTGTTACGGGTAGGGGTCTGGAAAGGCATGCAACCTCATTTTGTGTGGCAGGCATGGCACTTCGTGACATTCCGATGTCTTTGACTCCTGCGTGCTGCGTCTAGAATCCTTGTTTTTTTTGTGGTGGTGCCGTGCCTATGGAAAAGCTGCAAAACCGCTTGTTCTTGAAGTTTCTTGTTGAGGTTGTAATGTCATTTGGTGGCAGTTGTGGCATTTCGTGCCATTCCGATGTCGCCGCTGGTTGGCTGTGACGCTGCGGTCTTTTGCGTGGGAAGCGTGGCACTCACGGCACTGGGCTGGGCCAGGTGGCGCCACAACTGGTTCACGCAACTCTTTCACACAGACCTTTCACATTCAACTTTGTCACACACATCTCTTTCACGGACACAACTCTTTCACACACAACTTTGTTACCTACAACTCTCTCTTACACACTTGCTCAGAACAATCTTTGCGAACTCTGATGTGGAATGCATCTTACTTGCAAAACACTCCAATTACACCTGACAGGAATGGGTCGGTGAAAGGACCCGAGAAAGGATCGAGAAGAAACTATCGCCAAAGTCAATGCTAGATGAAATAAGTTGACAGATTGCGACAACAGTGCAGAAAATTGCCCACGCACATACAGAGCTCTTTCACGCAATCTGTCTTCCACTATATCCTTCATCCTTCCTGCCTTTCCCATCAATTTTCACATCTCTGTTGTGCTTATTGGAAGAAGTTGACATGTGCGTTTTCCGGTCTTTCTTACCCTTGTGCCCAAACCATTGTAGACTGTGGCATGGGGGGGCGAGGCAGGGTGTGGAGTGTCATGTAGAGTGTAGAGTGTGGAGTGCGAAGTGGGGAGTTTAAAGAGTAGGGTGTAGGGTGTGGAGTGTAAAGTCCGGAGTGTGGAATGTAAAGTGTGGGTGTGGAATGTGAAGCAGGGAGTGTGAAGTGGGGAGTGGGGAGTGTAGAGCAAAGCAGCGTCGATGTCACCAAGTGCCACGCCTGCCACAGAAAGTGAGCACGGGACAGAGTTGTGTGTGTGTGTAAGAGTTCTGCGTGACAAAGTTGTGTGTTAAAGAGTTTCGTGTGAATTAGTTGTGTGTGACAAGAGTTGTGTGTGTGTGATGTGTGACAAAGTTGTGTGTGTGAAAGAGTTCTGTTTGAAAGAGTTGTGTGTGAAGAGTTGTGTGTGGATTAGTTGTGAAAGAGTTGTGTGTAGGTAAATTGTTGTATGTAAGTTGTATGTAAGTTGTGTGTGAAAGAGTTGTGTGTGTGTGTAAGCAAGTTCTGTGTGAGTAAGTTGTGTGTGAAAGAGTTGTGTGTGAAAGGGTTGTGTGTGAAAGAGTTGTGTATGAAAAGAGTTGTGCGTGGGTTAGTTGCAAAAGAGTTGTGTGTAAGTAAATTGTTGTATGTAAGTTGTGTGTGTGTGTGGGCAGCTTCTGTGTGAGTAAGTTGTGTGTATGAAAGAGCCGTGTGTAAAAAGAGCTGTGGTGTGAAAAGGGATGTGTGTGTGTGTGACAGAGTTGTGTGCGAGTAACTTGAGTGTGAAAGACTTGTGCGTGAGTAAGTTGAGTGTGAGTAAGTTGTGTGCGAAAGAGTTGTGCGTGAGTAAGTTGCGTGTGAAAGAGCTGTGTGTGTGAAAGAGTTGTGTGAAAAGAGTTGTGTGTTTGGAAGTTGTGCGTGAGTAACTTGTGTGCGAAAGAGTTGTGCGTGAGTAAGTTGAGTGTGAGTAAGTTGTGTGGGAAAGAGTTGTGTGAAAAGAGTTGTGTGTTTGAAAGTTGTGTGTGAAAGAGTTGTGCGTGAGTAAGTTGAGTGTGAAAGAGTTGTGTGAAATAAGTTGTGTGTTTGGAAGTTGTGCGTGAGTAAATTGAGTGTGAGTAAGTTGAGTGTGAGTAAGTTGTGTGCGAAAGAGTTGTGTGAAAAGAGTTGTGTGTTTGGAAGTTGTGTGTGAAAGAGTTTTGCGTGAGTAAGTTGAGTGTGAAAGAGTTGTGTGAAATAAGTTGTGTGTTTGGAAGTTGCGCGTGAGTAAGTTGAGTGTGAGTAAGTTGTGTGCGAAAGAGTTGTGCGAAAAGAGTTGTGTGTTTGGAAGTTGTGTGTGTGTGTGAAGGGGTGGTGCGTGAGTAAGTTGAGTGTGAGTAAGTTGTGTGCGAAAGAGTTGTTCGTGTGCGTGAACAAGTGGAAAGAAGAGGGATGGACGGGAGCGGTCGGGAGATGAGAACAGAAAAACAAGAACCCCACACAATGACGTGGGAAATTACAAGACTGTTGTAGCATTTTTGGGAATATCTGTTTTACGTGCTGTGCATGCGGGTTTGTGAGTTGAATCAAGTTTCGCAACAGGAGTTTTCAGAGCTCTTTTTGAGAAAGGTTTGACCAGATTTCTGCCACATGATAGTCGGCGGGCTGGAAGTTTCCCACGTCCCTGCATTTTTGCACTGCAGGAGCTTGCGCTCAGCTTATTTGTGGGGTCAACAGAAATGAAGGCATGATTAGACCAGCTGCAGGGTCTTATTGAAACTTAACGGCAAACTTGTATGCCGAGTCGTGTCCAAAATCAAGCAGCTCAAGATGGACGAGTATGCAAATGGTACCAATGCTACGGTTCAATTATCTTGAACTGTTTCAAGTTTGCATTCCACGGCCAATTACCCAAAGGTTTGCGCTGAAGTTCCCACCATGGTTTGATAAAGAGCATGACTGACGCGTATGGGGAATCAGCTTACTTCACCACGGCTGGGCTGTGACGGACCAAAATCATGTTATGGGAGTTGGCACAACGCAGTTCTGTTTGCGCCCTCAAACATGTTGGTGGACGTCATGGATGCTGCAAAAGTGGTTGATCTTGTCCACTTGGAATGAGTTGACATGTTGTCAGAGAAACTGGCTGGGATCGCTGTGTACGGTGATAGAAGTGATAGCCAAGAAATGCCATGATCAACATTGATCAGCTATAAGAATTCTACAAGGGACTGGCTATGGCGGCTAGGGAACTCGTCACCATGCTGGGGGCTGGGGGCACGCTCCCAGGGAATTTGCAAATGCTATGGCGCCTTTGAAGATCCCAAGGCAAGTGGAGGGAGGAAACATGAAAGCAGACAGCATGCCGTGCCCGGTGTGCCCCCATTCGCCGCAGCATGCCCAGACAGTTTGTTTTTTTGGGGTTTGGTTGAACCATGTGGATGATACGTCGCAGCAATACCCAATGGCTACCTGGACTTTTTCTATTTCCCTTTATGGTGACGTGAATTGGTGCTTGAATTGGATTTAACGGCAGGTTTCCTTCTTTGTTTACAAACAATGCACCGGAAGGAACTTGTCAGGTTAGTTCTCAGACATTGTCGTCTGGCCAGGGAGATGTTCTCATCTTTTTGGAGGCTTGGTGCTGTTTTGCGGTTTTGTGAAGGCAGAACTAAGCAAGTCTTGTAAGATGATCGGGTTCTATTTAAAGCTCCTTTTGAAACGCAGTCCTGCTGCTACAAAGTTGAATGACCGACTATTTTCTACAGAGCAAGCATTCCTGGGCATACCTTTTTTGGGTTCGTTCATGTTTTTCCTGCATTCCAATATGTTCAGCTTTGGAGACGCAATTCTTGGCCCCGACAACGTTTGCTGAACCAGCTGTACCATGTCGGAAACGATTCCGATTACCGATGATTGGTTTTGCAGAGTGTTTTTCAAACTGCAAATCAACAGGAGTTTGCAATCAAAGCACTGTTCAGTGGACCCATTAGAGAGCGTATTGCGAGCTTTTTTTAAAGCCACTCTTTTACCTGCCTCCGTGGACCAATTCGGGAAGCGATTTGAAGGTTCTGTTAGATATCCAAATTGCGCAACCTCTTCACAGCCTTGGCAATGTTGCAGTTTACCACGGGCATGACCAAATTCAAGAGCTCAACCCCACTCCAGCATCTCGAAGCTGCGATCGCACCTGGCAGTACATTTGTGGTGGTGACATTCATGATCTGGCACGGAGATGTACGACAGAGCCCGGTCCAGAACGGGAGGCGAAGGCGCGGATGGAAACCAATGAGATACCAATGAGAAATCAATGAGAAACCAATGAGAAACCAACGGGCCACTTGTACAAAGCAGATGAACACAGATAAAGGCTCGAAGCGAGTCATCAATAGCCAAACTCGTCCGTCTCACCAATGTCTGTTTATTTATTCCGTAACGTCGTCACCGAGTTGTGGATAATTTTCACGCATACTTTTCATCGCCAGTGGAGTAATTCAGGGCCATCTGGAATTCAATTTGTAGCAGCTCCAAATTGGTTGAACCACCCGTTGAGTTTTCCCTTGCTGGATCCAGGCATGGCCTGTCATTCTCTCGTTGTTGGGAGCTGCCCCTTGGACATGCTATGTATGGGATTTCTACGGCAGTGATTAGATGTTGCTGTCTGTAGCCTTTGTCAATTGGTATTTGGATGCACGTTCTCTTTGTCTTGGAGTGATTGTTGATGCCGTGGCAATCTTGCAAGCATAGCTTGCTGTGTTCAATCAGGGCGAGCAAGTGGTTTCTTCTACTTAATAGTGTCCTTTGGTTGGTTTGAAAGTGCAATGGCAACTGCAGCTGTTGAGTGGGGGGGGATACCTGTTCAGCATGATCATGGCAGAGTGATGGATATCACGTGGGGGGCATGGAAGGGGAATTGATGCAAAGAATTACCGTGTCCAGTCAGCATCAGTATGATTGCAGCACAGAAACCAAAGAATACCAAAGGATCGCATTCTGTGCTGAGGTTCAATCGTTGCATCACATTGGCGTCCGGAAATCACAGCTGGGCGGTGAAGATGGCAAGATTTGTAGACGGATGAAAGGGTCATGTGAGTCCTGAATGGGTCCTGCACACGATCTTGCTATATGTTGGTTTGTTCTTCTGCGGGGAAGATTGAAAGAAGATAAGGGATCGGAGAATTAGCCGCATATTCTTCATCCGAGCTTGACTGTCCAAGCAGGCCGGGCCTACACGCAGTTTCCCTCTCATTGGGCATGTCCTTTCAAAATTCTCATTGTGCCTGTCGGTCTTAACAAAGTGTCTTCCACACTGTCTTTTGATGCCGTGATAGAAGAAGTATAAAAAGGTAACTCTTGTCTCTTGGCCCTACTGTGATTTGCCATCAGCCCTGGATTGCACTTGCAAGCATGCCTACAGTGAACGGGTTGGTCACTATATCTTCTAACAACTAATGATGGCACCGCATCTCAATACTTTTCATGACATTAGTCATTAATTAAATTCATGATTACATTAATCATTGCATATGAATATCATCATCCTTGGGCATTGAAAAAATGGGCATTGCGATTCCCAGGTGGCTCATGGAGACATTTCTCTGGAAAATGCCTTGTTAAGTCCCGACGGAGAGGTGCAGCAAGAGCATTGGGATTTTGCGTGGTCCAGTTTGTATGTGGTCTGTAAGCTGCCCTTCTCATGTGGCGATTGCCACTTGAACTTGAGGATTCAGCCATTGTAGATTGGAAGCTGAACAGACGACAAAGTTACGTGCAACTGAGAACTTCAGGTGCGTTTGGTAGATTTCGCCGCCTCAGCCGGGAAGCCTGGCTCCGTATTGGAAAAAAATTATCGCAAAATAATGTTCCAAAAGGTTCGGCAATGATGACAGGTACATTCGCTGGGGCTACTTTCATGATAGCAAGTGCCACTTCATGCTCATCCCAAGCTGAAAGCATCTTCCAAACCAATCGGCCTACGTCCAGAGGTGCCTAAGTGACTGGAGCCTTGTATACTAGTTCAAGCTCTGACATCATTTCAACCTCCTTTGGGCCTCAAGAGCATCTTGTGATCAAAGTACCAAAGTGGTGCCTCGACTGTGTCACCTCCATGTATTTTTTTTGAGCCCTCATGCACATACATGGATCACATGCGGGAAGTTGCTGGAATTCGGACCAGATTCCTGATGAGTGATTCTAGCTCTTGTGCCTTCTGATCTTTGGCATTCTAGGGCTGGCAACCCAGGGCCCCAACACACGATGCTGACATGGACTTGCCTTCCTGTGGATGCGACTCATGGTTTTATCAGCTTTATCTTCATTGCTTTTAGTGTGCTCTGTGTGTGTGATTGGCATCTCTTGTTTGTCATGCTGCACCCGGAAATATGCTGTCTTCATTTCCTCGATTGCCATGTCTATTTCCTGTACCAATTGCTGACCGTTCACTTCAAGCAAGGGAATTACCCCACCCATCAATAGGTTTGAAAAACCTTGACCTTTGTCCCAGGCAGACCTTATGCATCACCGAGGTTCAAAAACTTGCGCTCAGGTAAAAATCCAGCTAAAATTCTTGTTGGATTGCGAATCTCAGTGTCCATGTCCTGCTACCTTTAAATCACTCGAGAATATTTGGGTGTATGACTTGCCCGGTTCAGGCTATACTTAATCACCTTTATTCCTTGCAGTTCAATTTGGGTGTGTGGGTAACCAATAGTAACATATGCACACACTGGTTGAAGTCGCACCGATTCTACATAAATGTTGCAATCAGTTGGGGGAGGGCTGTAGGGAAAGTCGCTCCAACTTGTGTTCATGTGCGCGCGATCAGTCATAGAATTGCATGTGCTGAAGCGTCCAGGGGGAAGTAAGAAATAAAGAAAGACAGTGAAAGAAAGGGGAAGAAAAGGAAAGAAAAGAAAGGAAAGAATTCAAAGTGCAAGTTGCTTTTCTATGGAGCAAATTGCGGTCAAATGGTGGTTGACAGTTTTGCCAAATATGCTGTGTCAATCATGTATCAACAAATCGTCGGAGTTCCATTGTGGAAAATTGTTGGTGTGACTTTTTCGGCATATTGGCGCGCGGAGTTCCATGCGGGAAAGCATTCCCTTAGCCAAGTTGGCGTGACTTCCACGGTTATTTGTCGTAACATTATGCAATAACCATACTGATCCATAGAGTAACTATGTTTTCATTTTGCTTCCAAGAGTCGGATCGAAACCAGAGCCATTTCACCGAGGTCACAGACACACGTACACGTGGCATCCGTGGAAAGCCATCCTATCAGGTGCACAAGACACAGGGGTCGATGGGGTCGCTGATGGTCGCCTTTGTTGTCCCAAGATGTGACCAGTAAAATGATCAAAATGCGAACCTTTCAAGCGATATGAGTGAGTGGTTTGCAGTAGTGGATTACTTAACTTGTTTTTTATTTGCACAATTCGCGCTTCAGCTTGCATGACTTGCACACACATGTGTGCAGACATGGGCATGCATCACTTGCCAGTCTTTGCACATCGCTGCATGGAGGAAAGTGTGGAACACCCTGTGAGATCTCACCAAATTGACAACCTCCAATCTGAATACGCATCCTTTTTTCCTTTGGCATAAGCAACGGTCCTACACTTTCCGACCTTTGGAGCACGGTTTCTATGATTCTATCGCAGCCCAAAAGAAGTCCCACTTTCGAGCTGTCCCTTCTCCTTAGTTCTGATCAGAGGAAATTTAGTTACCAAACTTCCGAGTTGCGGACGAATGGTCATGGGTAGTCTTCACACCATCATGTCAACCACATCATCGTGTCAACCACATCCTCTTGTAGTTGGGAAGTGAAACAGTACAGCACAGTAACATTCCGGGAGCGTGTGAATTTGTGGCTGAAACCATGGTGGCCCCCAGCCGTCGCTAAAGTCTGGTCTGTGTTTCCGCGGGTGGGCTTCGATCTGAGAAAAGGCGTCCCAAAAAAGCGCACGAGACGGCAGTGGGAACTCGGTTTGTAGTTCAAAACAGTAAAGATTGAGAGCGTCAGACCACTTTTGGAAGACTAGGTCGGAAAAAAGCGCGGTAGACTGTAGCCGGAGCTTGATTTTGCGAAAAAATGCTGAAAAACTGAAGGCTGCAGACTGGCACGGAAGTTGCCCCCAGTGTCAGGGTTGGTTGGTTTCTCCTCCTATGCGAGATCAATTCGAGGTAGTGAAATGCATTGGCACGGCTGCGCCTTGGAAAGCGTTAGGGATGCAGCGATGCTCATGCTAGTCGGGACTGCAGCTCAGGGTTGTTAAACGCATTGCAGCATCTGCGAGAACGGTAGATTTTGAGCATAGAGCCATTTTTGTGGGGTGCAGAACTGAAGCAGGCTGCAAAACGCATTGCACTGGCTGCCCAACAAGAAGAGCTCGTTTGCAGAAGTTACAGAAGAGGTAGCAGAGAGCAAAGCAGAAGCTGGCCAGAGAACAAGTAGCTGAGAGAAGAGGAACTCAGCGAACAGGTGGCTCAGTGAAGAAGTGGCCCACAAAAGAACACTCATGTATTCGTTCGTTGCTTCCTTCATTCTTTCACTGATTCATTCATTCAGTGATTCTCACTGATTCATACATTCATTCATCCATCCATTCATTCATTTGTTCATTGGTTCACTGATTCGTTGGTCTCATTGACTGATTAGCCCTTTCATTGATTTGCTCACTGCTTCATTGATTGGTTCATTGGTTCATTCACTCATTCACTCATTCACTCACTCATTCATTCACTCGTTCATGGATTCAGTCATGCATTCGTTCATTTGTTGACCCGTTCATTGATCCATTCATTGGTACACCTTTTTTTTAGGTTCTTGATTTAATCATCCTTTCACTGCTTCATACATTGACCTCTTCACTTGTCCACTCACCCATTGGTTTATTGGTTCATTAGTGGTTGATTCGTTCATTCATTCCCTCATTCAGTCCGTCAGTCAAGTCAGTGAGTCAGCAAGTCAGTGAGCCAGCCAGCCAGCCAGTCAGTCAGTCAGTCAGTCGCGCATTCATTCTTTCATCTCATTTCACTGGCATCTCAATAGCCATTCGATCATTCGTTGACGCATCTCGCAACCTGAAAATGTCATTGCATCTGCACCACACAGACATTCCTATAGGCCATTCATGTCTTATAAACAGCCAGCGTCTTTTTCGAAACTTCCGCCACGGCACTGCCGGGAACTATCTGGTAGTTCTACTTGATGCCATGTGGCTGCCGTTGCCGACGAAGTCTCGCAGAGACTGTTTCCAGGCACCAGAGATGCACACGCCTAGAAACTCAGAGGACGGATGGGCCAACCCCCGCCTACGTTTACATTTACCTTTTCATTCACATACACATTTACATGTACATGTACATGCGCCTTTACATGTACATGCACAAAATCATATTCATATTCGTTTACATTACACGCACACATCTATATACATATACATATACATATACATATACATATACATATACATATTAACCCAGCTTTGCAACCCAACAGCAAGTTCCAGGGTCCAAGGCTGCAATGTCATCAGGCACAAAGTTTGGGAGGGTATCAAGATTCCACAGATTTTGCGACTTCCAAGGTTCCAGTCCAGACTTCTAGATTACCAGGGTTCTCGGGCTCCAAGTTTCCAGGGTTCAAGTTTCCAAGCATCAAGGTTCCGGACTTGTAAGGGTCTTGGCTTGGTTCATCAACATCGAAGTGACCAGCGCAATGCAAAGCAAACGCAAAACACAATAGAGCTGCTTCAATTGATTTAAAGAACACAATGTGGGCAGTATGGCCCTACAGTTTCACAACGTTAAAGGTTCAAAGTTTTTCACAAGGGACCTATATTGTTTCAGGTCAAGCTTGAGGGTTTAGTGCAGGTTCCAGACTTGCAAAGGGCCGAAAGTTCCAGGGTTCTAGAGCTCCATGGTTGCAGGATTCTAAGGTTGCAGGGTTCCATGGTTCAAAAGTTACAAAGCTCCAGGAATCCACGGTTGCAGGTTTCCACGGTTTCAAAGCTTTCAGAGTTAAGGGTTCCAGGGTTCCAGAGCAGAAACCCTTTGCAATTCCTTGTAGGAAGCCTTGCAGGAACTTTTCCGGACACCTTAACAAAACTTGCAGATTTAGTCTGAGTTTTGTTTCATTACTTTGAATTTTCTCTGCTTAATGTGTGGAGCTGCTTCATGTGTTATTAAATCCTGGAACCATGGAACCCTGAAAAACCTGGAGCGATAGACGATGGAATCTTGGAACCCTGAAACCTTTAAATCTTGTAACCCTGTAGTCTTGAATAAATCCTAGAACCTTGGCAACCTGCATCCTTGGGATCCTGGTGCAAGCTTGGAGCTTTGCCCCGTGACCTTGCAACCTTGGAGCCCTGGAGAGCAAGGTTCATGCCAGGGTTCCAGCAAAGGTTCAGGCAAGGATTCTAGCATCACAGTCTCAGCAAGGGATCGTCTATGATTGCCCGCCATAAAAACAGAACTAGACGACGGATGGCCCGAGAGCGTAGAGGAGCAGGGTCTTCTCTTGTTAGTATGGAGACACCATATTACAAAACAATATATTAAAGATGTGTTATACGCAGTCGAAAAGAGGAGTACCAAGACAATATAGCACAAGTACAAGACTGTAGTTTGCATCGTATCTTTTGTAAAGCTTTTCACACACAGAACTTTTTACAGAGAAACGCTTTTACACACAGATGCTTTTAGACACAGACACTTTTACATACGGAAGCTTTTGCGCACAGACATTTTTACACACGGAAGCTTTTACACACAGACGCTTTTACAGACATAGGCTTTTACACACAGTCTCGTTTACACACAGACGCTTTACACCCTGACGCTTTACACGCAGACACTTTTACACGCAAACACTTTTACATACAGACGCTTTTACACACAGAAGCTTTTACACAGACGCTTTTACACACAAAAGCATTTACACACAGAAACTTTTACACGCAGAAGCTTTTACACACAGACGCTTTTACACACAGGCGCTTTTACACACAGACAGTTTTACACACAGACGCTTTTACACACAGAAGCTTTTACACAGACGCTTTTACACACAGAAGCTTTTACACAGACGCTTTTACACACAGACGCTTTTACACACAGACACTTTTACACACAGACAGTTTTACACACAGCCACTTTTGCACATAGACGCTTTTACACAGACGCTTTTACACACGGACGCTTTTACACACAGACACTTTTACACACAGACACTTTTACACACAGACAGTTTTACACACAGACAGTTTTACACACAGACACTTTTACACACAGACACTTTTACACACAGGCGCTTTTACACACAGACACTTTTACACACAGCCACTTTTACACACAGACTCTTTTACACACAGACGTACACACAAACGCTTTTACACACAGACGCTTTCACACACAGACGCGTTTACACACAGTTTTTGACGATCGAACCTCATTTCGTGCGAAAGGGTTTGCGGGACAAGTGAAATCGCAATTTTACTTCAGTTTTTGACGATCGAACTTCATTTCGTTCGAAAGAGTGCGCGGGACACCTTGCAAATCGCCATTTTACCTCAGTTCTTGACGATCGCACCTCGTTTCGTGCGAAAGGGTTGCGCGGGACAAGTTGAGATCGCAATTTTACCTCAGTTTTTGACGATCGAACCTCGTTTCGTGCGAAAGGGTTGCGTTTCGTGCCGTCTCGTTGGCACTGCCCTGCCCCCGCCTTCAGAAGAGAAATAGAAAAGAAAGAGAGGGCAAGAGGGCAAGAGGAGAAGATGTGAAGATGTGAGGATGTGAAGATGTGAAGATGCATGATGAGAAGATGTGACGATGAGCAGGTGTGAAGATGAGCAGATGTGAAGATGAGAAGATGTGGAGATGAGAAGATGTGAAGATGAGAAGATGTGAAGATGAGAAGATGTGAAGATCAGAAGATGTTAAGATGAGAAGATGTGAAGTGAGAAGATGAGAAGATGTGAAGATGATAAGATGTGAAGCGAGAAGATGTGAAGATGAGAAGATGTGAAGTGAGCAGGTGTGAAGATGGGAAGGTGTGAAGATGAGAAGATGTGAAGATGAGAAGATGTGAAGATGAGAAGATGTGAAGTGAGAAGATGTGAAGATGAGAAGATGTGAAGATGAGAAGATGTGAACATGAGAAGATGAGATACAGACCCCCACTATTGGAAGAACCCTGCGCTCAGACGCTCTCGGGAAAAACCCCAAGAAAATCCAGAAGGAGTCCTCATATAGGTTCCAACATAGCAAGGTTGCAACCCGGCTCCAGAAAAGTTCAAGCCAGACTTCCAACCTCACAACCCGGCACATTAAGCAAAGCAAGAATTAATGTAAATAGAAAAACGAAATCGACACCCGCATTGGTTCCCAGCAAAATGTTCCAGCCAGAGGCTCCAGCAACAGGGTTCCAGCGAGGTTCCAGCAAGGTTTCACCATGTTCCAGCAAGGGTTCACCAACTTCCAATGACTTTCCAGCAAGGTTCCAGCGAGGTTCCAGCTAGCAGGGCTCCGGCAAGGTTCCAGCAGAGTTCTAGCACGGCTCCAGCAAGGTTCCGGCAAGATTTGAGCGACTTTCCAGCAAGGTTCCAGCAATGAATGTTCCAATGATCCAGCAGAGTTCCAAGCAGGGTTCCAAGGAGGTTCTAGCAAGTGTTTGGGCTTTCCGGAGCATGCATTTTGCTGGTCCTTGGCTGAGAGATTGAAACCCAAGAGAATGGCTGTTGGGCCTGTTGGGCTGTTGGGAATAGTAAAACATTCCATCAAGGTTCAAAGAATCTTCATCTTTAAGTGTGCTCCCCCCAAGTGCTTGTAACAGCCCAGCACATTAAGCGAAGGAAGAATCACTGAAACGAAGCAAACAACAAAACAAATAAATAAATAAAACTAAAACTTGTCTTCTAGGCACCGGACTGTAACCGGACTGTCTTCTAGTTGCAACATGCTTCAAGTGAGGTTCCAGCAAAGGTCCAGGAACGTTCGAGGAAGTTTCCAGCACAATTCCAGCACAAATCCAACAAGGTTCCAGCACAGTTCCAACAATCTTCCAACAACGGCCCAGCAAGGTTCAAGCAAGGTTCCAGCAACGTTCAAGCAAGGTTCTAAGCAAAGTTCCAGGAAGGTTCCAGCAAGGTTCCAGCAAGGTTGCAAGCAAGGTTCCAGCAAGGTTCCAGGGCTGTTCCGGGTTTTCCGGGCGTGCATTTTCGCGTCACCACTCCCCGCCCCCAGAGACTGAAACCCAACAGATTCGCTGTTGGGAACATAGATGCATACCTAGATACATACAGACATACATACCTACATACCTCCATACCTACATATATCTACATACCTACATACATTCATACCTACACACATACCTACATAGCTACATACCTACATACATCGACGTACCTACATACAAACATACGTACATACATGCATGCAGACACGGGTGCATACATGCAAACATGCACACATGCATACATGTATACATTTTTTCATGCACATGCAAACACACACACACACATGCATACATACACATGAATGTATGCAGACATGCAGACACGGATACATGCATATATGCACATGTACGTGCACACGCACATACGCATACACATACACATATACATAGACCTATACATATACATTTACATTTACATGTACATACAAATACGTACACACAATACACAAACATATACATACACATACGTACACATACATACACATACATACACGTACGCACACATACGTACACATACATGCGTACGTACATACACACATAAATACATACATACATTCTGTTATCCTTATATACTAGGAAATGACCCGGACCAATTTTTTCCGGTTCCCGTTCAGGTCATTCGCAGTGTTTTGTTGTGCTGAATGGACGGTGTTGCTTTCGAGAGAACCCGACTGGGACGTCAAGTTTCTATGTGCACTGGAGGTTTTTTCTGGAAAATCCTGGTAGGTGGATGTTTTACACCCGGACTATCTCACCGGATCCCCTTCAGAGCGCTGAATTTTTGAGCTCCAATACTAACAGTATTAGTTCCAAGGCCCAACTCTTATGATCCCTTCGCTGCCGACCTCTTCGCATGCGGGGTTTGGGGCCAAGTTGAGAGGTTTGTCTGATTTCGCGAGAAGGGCTGAGTGAGAACCCTGTGATACTCTTGGTGATAGTCAAGCCTAGAGAAGAGAGGCTTAAAGAGTGATGTTTCAAAGGTTCAAGCTGCTCACCAGGAGATTGACTCAAAATCCAGCCTGCCGAAGGAATTTTGATTTTTACTCATTGAGAGTATTCAAAAATCACCGTGCCATTCCTCTTGCATAGTGGGGCGCGCGTGAATGCATTAATATTAATTGAGTTCAAGGCAGTTTGCACAACATCGCGTTGCCATTTACACAGCTACGCACCAAGGTCTTCGCATATTGCTTGGTGGTGGCAGATTATCCTTGGAGATGCACCAGGTGGTTTCCCCAGCATTTGCAAACAGATAGCATATTTCCCGTGGAGCTGAGTTGTCATCATGTGGTTGCAAGAGAAAATGCAGGCATACAACATAGTACAAGAATAGAACTCATTAGCGAGATGTTGCCATGTCTCTTTCTGAACTGCCCATGCCGGGTCCAAACAAATGATGTGCACATTCCTGCGCCTTTTTGAGCTCGGAAAGAAAGTGGTCCTGTCAGTAGTAGAAAGTTGTCTTATGGACTTCAGTTCTTTGTCTTCTCATTTGGGAGCAAACACCACTATGATTTCGACTGGTCCACCCGGATGTTGTGCAAAGCCTCCCACAGTTCAATTATTTTCCATCAATACCACAAATCGCTGACCTGCGCTGTACCAGACACACCATCGGCCGCCAGTCCGAACAAGTGTGCAGCTTTTGACTTCTACCTCTTGCACGGTTTGCCAGTCATACCCTCGGTGAAGGGCAAGAGGGACAAGAAGTGGGTATCCTCATCATAATCAAAGCAGCTAAGACACTTGCATTGGTTGCCTTGATGATTTCTGTTTCACATGGAAATCAGGACCTGCTGTGATAAATGTGGAATTTGACCCACATATCACGGACTCAAACCCACGGCACTAAAATCCGCATGCTTTGAACTGCCTTCACGCTCACCACCATTATCGCCAAGAAAACCACTGCGGTGTGGCATCATCAACAGCAATGATCGTGATAACAAACTAATTTGCCATCACCATCACCATGATCGTCATGGTCGTCATCGTCATCGTCAAAATCATTTTCGTGGTCATGGCGTTGCTCGTACGGCGACTTTTGCCTTAAAGACGACAAGCTCACAAGAGTGCCTTTCAATAATGCCCCGCAAGAGTGTTTCGCAACATGGTCTTACAAGAGTGTTTCAAGATTGTGCCACAAGAGTGTCTGTCCTGCAGGAGTGTGCTGCAAGAGTGTCCCATGCAAATGGTTCACAAAAGTTTTGTTCGAGAGTCTCTTGCATGCGAGGCACAGGCCATTTCCAACAACATGTGCTTTCTTTCACTTACTACTTGCACTTATGATGGATTTTGTTGATTTTCGAGATGTGATTTTGTCCCAGCAAATTTGCTCCTGGCTTGTGATGGAATCATTTGGCTTCCTGACGTTCGAAAAAACACAGAGGCCTTCCTGGCTCAGCGGAAATTGCGTTTCGAAGGCATGCAGAGGTGCTGCCCCGCTATATGTTTTCGCTCGCATTTTATGTGTTTTTTGATATGCATATGTATGTATATATATATATACACACATCTTTGTATGTAAATACATATACATATAGACACACATATATATATGTGTGTGTGCACATATGTATATATATATACTATATTTACATATAGACATTTATAGGTTTATGTATGCAAACATGTATTTATATACATGTCTGTTGTTTTTATTTCTCTATTTATTTATTTTTAAATGTATCTATTTGTGTATATATATATATGTTTGTGATGTTTTTGATCTGTGCATACCTCAATGATCCTCAGTGGTCCTCAATGATAGTGAGTTTATGAACTATAGCACACTGTCAGGTTATACTTATATGGCGGTTTGGGTTGGTGGTTTGGAAGTCTGGGAAATCAGAGTTATGTGCAAAATAGATTTGAAAAATGTGTTTTTGTTTTGTGTGTTTTGTATTTGTTTTATTTTTTGTTTAACTAATCTAAATCTAATCTAATCTAATCCTAATCCCTAATCCCTAATCCTAATCTAATTCTAATCCCTAATCCTAATCCTAATCCCTAATCCTAATCCCTAATCCTAATCCCTAATCCTAATCCCTAATCCTAATCCCTAATTCTAATCCTAATCCCTAATCCTAATCCCTAATCTAATCCCTAATCCCTAATTCTATTCCCTAATCCTAATCCCTAATCCTAATCCCTAATTCTAATCCCTAATCCTAATCCCTAATCCTAATCCCTAATCCTAATCCTAATCCCTAATCCTAATCCCTAATCCCTAATTCTAATCCTTCATTCTAATCCCTAATTCTAATCCCTAATCCCTAATCCTAATCCCTAATCCCTGATTCTAATCCCTAATTCTAATCCCTAATTCTAATCCCTAATCCCTAATCCTAATCCCTAATCCTAATCCCTAATTCTATTCCCTAATCCTAATCCCTAATCCTAATCCCTAATTCTAATCCCTAATCCCTAATCCTAATCCCTAATCCTAATCCCTAATCCTAATCCTAATCCCTAATTCTAATCCTTCATTCTAATCCCTAATTCTAATCCCTAATCCTAATCCCTAATCCCTGATTCTAATCCCTAATTCTAATCCCTAATTCTAATCCCTAATCCTAATCCCTAATCCTAATCCCTAATTCTATTCCCTAATCCTAATCCCTAATCCTAATCCCTAATCCTAATCCCTAATCCTAACCCCTAATTCTAATCCCTAATTCTAATCCCTAATTCTAATCTCTAATCCCTAATCCTAATCCCTAATCCTAATCCCTAATTCTAAATCCTAATTCTAAATCCCTAATTCTAAATCCTAATTCTAAATCCTAATTCTAAATCCTAGTTCTAAATCCTAGTTCTAAATCCTAGTTCTAAACCCTACTTCTAAATCCTAGTTCTAAATCCGAAAAAAAAATAAATCAAGGAATTCTATTGATTTGATTGCGATCATGGTTTTCAATATCTTAAAATTATTTATTTTATTTAAATTAATAATATAAATCGAATTATATATATAAATAATAAATAGGCATAACCCATACAGGTAAACTTGTTCTGACAAGACGACGATTAAAAATATAATTAAATTATAATATTTTATTTTTTTTTATAATTTATTTTAAAAATTTAAATACAACCCCAGACCCCTCCTAATTTCTTCATTCTGAAAAACATACAACATTATTTGTATAAGTGATTATCCCTTGGTTGCATTTTTTTGGTGCAATATATGACGGTTTTTTAGTTTTTTCTTTTTTTACTAATTAAAAAATTTAAGAATTTGATTTAATGGATGTTAAGATAACAAATTTGTTTTTTTATTTTTTTAAAAAAAATTATTATGAACATACCATCGCGATCGTGACCCATACTTCGAAGCTAAAGCTACACTGACAAAAAAGGAATATATATGTATCACGGAACCCAGTTCTCTCCTCCGACTACCCATGCTTATAAACTGGTGAAGAAATGCTGCTTTTGAATATCGATATCTGAGTAAAACAAAGACATGCTGCTGGC